CATTGTGATTGTCACTCAGACAACAATCACGTGGTGCTTCAAAAGTGATGATTTATTTCACAATAAAACGCAACATTCATGACGCCAAAAGAATTCTCCGTATGTTACACAGGCTTTCCAGTAGCGAATCAACTTTAATCATAAACGGGCACTTTGAGTAGCCGAAAATGAAGGATAAAGTTTGCCTTTGTGCTACAGTTATTCAGTAAATAAAAGGTAAATATCCGAGGGATAAAAATTAATATAGAAATGAATGATATATGGTTGATCTGCTTGACAATGGATCTATTTTGAGTTCGAGACATGCAGGTATGAGCCGCCCCAAATTGTTGTTGTATTGGATTGCGTTCTAGCGTCCATGGCCTCACCCAGTCACTCCCTAAAATAGGCCGTTCGATTGTTCAATATTTATGGCCAAAAGATAACGCATCAAAGTAGAAATTCTTAGTGTCGATTTTAAGCTTTACAGACATTTTTTTTTCAGTAATTGTTTATATGCAATAAGTTTATGGAAATACATAAGTTCCAGCTTTCTCGATCTTCAATACTAGTCCATTGAAGGCACAGTCCCTAAAGAAAGATCCCATTTTTTAAAATGTACATAAAATCGGTTGCTTAAATTTTGCTTTTGACAACTTGCCACTTTTTCAAACTTGATTGGCGGTTTTCGTTGTTTTCATTTTACAAAATAAAGCATTTTCAGATCACTTAGGAAATATCGTTCTGGAATGAAAACACGTATACTAGTATATCCTCTATATGCATGAATTTTGAAAACTTGAAAAAAGGTGAACATTACTTTTTGGTCAAAATACTATAATATATATCCAGTGGGCATTCTATAATGAAACAACTTGACATTGTCATACTCAGAGAGAGAGAGAGGAAAAAAGACTTAAAACATATAAATTTCATTCTTCTTTCATAACTTTTGTCGCTCAGGTACTATAATCATTTGCTTTTATTAATTATACTTAAAAAAATACAGAATTAAAAGTTTGCTATAATACCTATAAACAACTTTTTAAAAATAAAGGAGATAAAAATGATCTCGATAATTATCGAGCGCTTTGCTTGACTTCAAATTTGGGCAAGGTGTTTACATCTATTTTAAACACAAGACTTAATAAATTGTCTGATGAAATAGGGATCATTTCGGACTCACAAGGTGGATTCCGCAAGGGATACTCTGTCCAAGATAACATGTTTGTTTTACATTCCATTATTACATTATATTTATCTGCCGGAAAGAAATTGTTCTGTGCATTTGTGGATTTTAAACGGGCGTTTGATACCGTTTGGAGGGCCGGGCTTTTCCAAAAACTTATAAAAAATAACATCAGAGGGAAAATGTTTACGTTGATACAGAATATGTACACAGATATTAAGTCTTGTGTTAAACTTGATAATTTGAAAACTGCATTTTTTCCATGTGAAACGGGTGTTAGACAAGGAGAAAAATTATCTCCATTTCTTTTTGCCTTATACTTGAATGATTTAGAAGACTTTTTAAGTCAACATTTGGGCCATGGTTTAGAATACCTAGATTCAGAATGTATACATAGCATAGGTATTTATTTGAAAATGTTCATTTTACTATATGCAGATGATACAGTTATCTTTGCAGATACTGCTGAAGATTTACAAAATACTTTAAATATATTTGAACAATATTGTAATACTTGGAAACTTAAGGTCAATGTCTCAAAGACAAAAATTGTAATTTTTTCTAAACGTAACTGTAATAAGAAATTCAAATTTAATCTATGTAATGATGAAATTGAGATTCAAGATACATATACATATCTTGGCTTGTTATTTAATTATAATGGTAATTTTTGTAAAGCCAGAAACAAATTAGTAGATCAAGCTCAAAAAGCTTTATACAGTCTGTACCAGAGAATTAATAATATTAGTATTCCTTTAGATTTACAGATAAAACTATTTGATTCTTTGGTAGCCCCTATTTTGGCTTATTCCTCCGAAATTTGGGGATATGAAAATAAGATGAATATTGAGAAGATACATTTACAGTTCTGCAAAAAAATTCTGGGGGTTAGGTCATCGACCGCAAATTTCATGGTCTATGGTGAACTTGGCCGATTTCCTATCGAAATTAGTATAAAGATGAAAATGATTTGTTTCTGGTACAAACTTGTAACAAATGTTGATAAACTGTCTGGAAAACTCTACAAGCTTATGTTTAATTTATTTGAAAATGGAAATAATTCTTTTAAGTGGATTTATTATGTAAAATCTATTTTTGATGAAACTGGTAACAGTGAAATCTGGCATGTACAAGGAAACGGTTAATTTGAATTTTTTTTAAATTAACGTTAAACAAAGACTCCATGACCAGTTCATACAAAAATGGTTTTGGGATATCGATAACTCATCAAGGGGGAAGTTCTATTCAAAATTTAAGACTGACTTCTGTATGGAACCCTATCTAATTAGACTTAAAAAATTAAGTAGACTCTATATTTGCAAACTTCGCACTTGCAATATCAAATTTCCTATCGAAACGGGGAGATGGAATAGAATTCCAGAAATTGAAAGAAAATGTAAGCTTTGTAAGACTGGTCTTGGAGATGAGTATCATTACATAGCGCTTTGTAACAATGCTGATGTTATTGAAGCAAGAAATGCATATATTCCTAATTACTACAGAATCAACCCAAATATCAACAAACTTTATGGAATGTTGAAATATTGCAACTTAAATGTATTAACTAACCTTTCTATTTTCATTCAAAAGGTTGAAAAACTACTGCTTTCTCTGTAAATCATCACATATGAATATTTATATATGTTACACTTTTTGTTACTATCCATTATCATTTTATTGTGATCACGTGGTTAGGGGACGACCATTTGATATTCTGGGGGGGGCCAGGAGGATTTTGAAAATAAATAACTCAGCCTTGATAATCACAAAAATAAATGGTTTGTTCTGTGGTAGTTTGAAAATAAATAACCTGACTTGCAATGTATTAAAAATAAATAACTCGGCAGGTCTATTTGAGAGCACGAGATTGCACCAGATTCTTCATAAAATTCAACTTTTTTTTCAAAAAAAATCGGGAATCACTTCCCAAATCTTTGATTAATAAAAGTATAAATATTATTTAAAAAACTTGAAATGTCTGAAAAATGGGTTTCATTTAACTTGAGGTATATTGTCTCAGGAACACTTAACTCACTTTTATTACATATGGCAGTAACTACATTCAGGCAAATGCCTCATGTAGGAAATTTCAAAACCAAAAGCTTGTCTTCATATCAAATTGTTTTCACGGCAAGTGTCTTGTAAGAAGCAAGTTCTGTTCTCCCTCAGACGTAGCTCCTGTTTTTTGGGGATCAATGTTTCTTATTTATTTGTCTTTTGTTCATTGATTGCCCTTCTGTATTCTGTTAGTGTTGCATTCCTTTTGTAATTTAGTAATTTTGTTATTAACTTGATCAAGAGTTTAAAAAAAAACAGCAGCCACATACTTAACTATGTGAATTAAATTTTTGCTTTATATTTGTCTTTTGATGTTGTTCCTAAAAACTTAAGTCTTACACTGAATCTATACATGTTGCTTTGAGACCAAAATATTGTCAAAAAATGATTAAAACAGAACTTTCATTTTCAGATTAAGAAAGGGTATGGGAAACACATTTTGCATCATTAGTTCTATAGCAACATGGGGCCTTCAGCGGCTCCAAAACCCTTCAAATTTTTTTAGCCTCGCTCCGCTCGGCATAAATGATTTGCAATACTTTTAAAAGACACTAGTTACAGCCAAACTTTAATATCTTGTATGTATGCAATACATGTATATGCAGTTGGGAATTCAGAAGATTCATTTCTACAGATGATGATGATTAATTCTGATTAAATGGTACATAATGATTGGACTATTCATGTATTATTTATAATAAAAAATGAATTTAAAAATTGTATGTTTTCAAATATTATAAATATAGTTGTGAAAATAAATAATCAGTCCCTTGCTTTAATGAAAATGAAAAATCTTGCTTCAACAGTGCAGAAAATGGATAATCTGTCCTCTTAGTTTACAAAAATAAATAACCGATCAAAAACAAATCCTCCTGGCCCCCCCCAGAATATCAAATGGTCGTCCCCTTATTTAAACTTTACAGATTGCACGGACTTTTTGCGATCTGGTCAATAGATGTAGTATACATTTAGTTTTGTAAAAAAAAAATATTTATATTGTTTTATTTTATGTATTCTACTCATTTCGCTTCTATGTTATTTGTAAATTTATGTGTATTTGTCGCTCCTGTTACGCAGGAAATCTGCGTCCGAGTGTATTTTGAATAAACAGTAAACAGTCAATTGGTTAAGTACGAACGTTAAGGAGTATCAATACAAAAAGTGCCCAAAAATAATGGACAGTATAACGGACCACACCTATACCAACTGTACATATAAGCATTTTCAGATCATCTCCGAACAGTTTTGCCTATTTTCTTACTTACAATCAACTATATATACCAACATTAAAATCGAATATCGCTTTATACATGAAGCCAGAAATACCCCATTTCCCTCTGACACAAGACAAAAAGAAAAGATATTGGTTGGTAAATTTCTTCAACTTTCAAAGTTATATAAAAAATAGTTACTTTACGGCTAAGAACAATGATAGACATTCAAACAAAGTGTACTGCATCATTTACACTTCAGGCAAACTACGGCTTGGACATCACACCCTCAAAACAAATAACATCGATGTACTCAAGTGAAACAGATATTATCGAATACTATTATCATTGATTTTTTACACATAAAAATAGTAACAAAAATTCTTAAATCTGGTCTAGGATTAAAATTACAAATACGTAAGGTAAGTGAAGTAAGAACGGTCGATGATAAGGTCCTCGCTAAACTCATCTTTATAACGATCTACATTTTAAACTTTAAATTTGTTTTGTAATTCGAAAAGTCATGATCACATGTTTAACCCATAAAAATGTACGCATCAGGAAACACCAAGAATAGTTCCTTAAATACCAGCTACGTGAGATCAATTCAGGCCACAGCCAACATGGCTAATAACTAGTTAAATGGCTTATCATTGAAGGTGAAATGTAATATATAGTATATCTGGAATTATATACAAACTGTAAATAAGAGGTTTCATTTAGTTTTTGATAAGCAGGTAAGTCATACAAAACAGAAAGCTGGCTACACTGGCAGTAATACCGGTATCACATCAGCTTGCAAGATAATCTGCCAGTTTTTACTCATTGTTTAATGTTCAGGCTATGTGTATATTGAAGGTAATTTAATTGATGAATAATTTGATTGATGAATAATTTAGCTCAATAAAACCCTTTTCACAAAGAATTTTGGAGCACATATGTAGTTATAAAAAAATGATTGCGTAACATTATTTTTTTGCAGTACATATGAACTCATTAAAGGTACAACGTGACTTCGGATAATTATGTTTCTACTGTGAAATTGAATATTTAGAAATGTCAGTTACAGAAATATAAAAAAAAAAAATAAAGCTGTATCCATTTATTTTTCATTGAAAACTGCGTCAACTCATAATTAATTCATAAATTTATCCAAGTAAGGGAAACGTGGATAAATTTGATTGAAAAAGCTCGATTAGCATTTCAACAAAGTTTGTATACTGCTATACTGCTTCAAATAGTTTCATTTACATTGTGTTTTTCTATAATTCTGTTTAAATTGGATTTAAATTTTAATCTGACACCATATTGTTGGAAAAAAAATAAATGTATATTGTATCCTTAAGGGGTTAACCATTGATGATGATAAAGTATGCTGGATAAATAATTTCTGATATAATTTGAAATGATACAGGATGATCAATAATCCTGACAGGTAAAAATTATTGATCGATTGTTGACACAATTTTCAGGTGTGTAAATTGTGTGCTGGAACCATTTAAGAGCAAGTAAAACAAGATGTCACGATTGCAACAATTTGGATTACTTTTACACAAGAACTGGATACTACAAAAACGTAAAGTGTGTGTAACTGTTTTTGAAATTTTAATGCCGGTAGCTTTTGGGCTATTACTGTTGGTTATTCGAAATCTTATAGAGACAAACGATTACCCGAATGGGAAAATATGGAGCGCCTTCAAGCCTTCGCAAGCAGTATCAAACCTCACGAAGACAGAAATTCTATACGCTCCAAACGATGCAGCACTTGGTACAATAATGACTGCAGTCAAGAGCGACATGGACACAGATTTTCCAGGATTTTTAACTGCAGGTATACTTTTATTATGCAATCAGAATTTAATATACTACGCCCACATTCAAAGGGTTAATATTCTCGTAATTTGCACATTATTTAACATAATAATAAGGACGATACCAGCAAAAAACCATAAACATGTCTGGAATAACTATCAATTGGTTTATTATACCCCAATTCAGGTATAATCCACCATTTGACATATACGTGTTCATCAGAGCTTGATATGGTAAATGTAAAAAGATGCTCCAATATCTCTTCAATTTTTTTTTTGTTGATAAAAGCTGCATTATATCCAATTGGTGTATTTCATTATATGTCAAATGGTGAATTATACCTGAATTGGGGTTTATTCTACCAATTGATTGGTATTCATGACCTGAAAAATAGTCAAAAGAAAAGGCTAACACACTATCACTTAAAAGTGTGTATGTTTTCTAGGCTGTCATGTATTTACACAATTATTGACTATCGGAGAGGTTTTTAAAATAAATGATCCCAATCACCGTTGTAATATTTATGCCTTCTGTTACGTATATTCCAAGAGTGTACATGGAATAATTAGATTTGGTTTTGTTACAGTTTTCACAAAACCACAACTAAAGTGCTGAACTGGCTCCGTTTTATATGTAACTTTGCATACACTGCATATTGTTTGTCAGTCTTTCTCCTCCCGCAGACATGAAATTATCACCTGGTCCAACTTGAGAGCTTACTTGCACAGCTAATGTTTTATTAACAAACCACAGTTTTCGCAACGTTATGTGTCGCGGTGCCTCTACTAAGTTTTAATTTTACTCAATCTTTATTTTTTTCAGTTACTGGGTTTGCGTCTAACAGTGATGTAGAAACCTATCATACCAATAACCCAAGTAAAGTGTTAGCTGCTGTAGTGTTTGATGAATCAGTTAACTACACGTCGACTACTCTACCACAAAATGTGCAGTATTCTCTGAGGGTGTCGCTTCTTGATGGAGATACAAGATGGAGAACTGACCGCACATTCCCGTTCGTATTGACAACAGCTCCGAGAAACAACGACGCGACTGGCGGAGAACCGGGTATGTATTGTTATGTTAGAAAATTCATAAAACACCTTTAAAAATCCTTCTACAAAATGCATTGGCATAGAAACTAAAACTAGTACAAATACAAAAACCTAGGGCCATGGAAGGCAAAGGATACGAATAATGAATGATTATCATAGTCTGTTTGCTAAAATAATGTTGATCGTTGTTGACATTTTCTTGCATATCAAAGGCTCTCCTTCAAATTTATGGTCTGTATAAAATTATTAGATAAAAATCTGGTCATTTGTCACATACGTCTTTCATGAACATTGCATGAGGCCCAAACTCGGTAGTTGACTAAAAGAACAGTCGAGAAAACGCCAATACGGCTGCAACAATTTAATACAAATTACGGATATATGCATACGAATACGAATACTTTATTTCTCATAAAACTACAATTACATAGTTATAGAGAACATATATAAACGTAACTATCATGTACAATTATTACATGCATGTGTGAAAAGTACAATGACATTAATTTGGACGACTGACTTTCACATTTATAACTTTGGTAAATTTACATAATTTTTCTAATATTACAAATTACAATATTTGATGAGTTAAACATTTGATCAAATTTATAGATATTAGGGTTTGACCAACAGTATTGCGATAAAAAAAAATTTCTTTCTAACTCAAATGTTCTACAATTCATAACGTAATGGTACTCGTCACCAATGTCGTTTGAGTCACAGAGACGGCAGACTCTGTCTTCTCTCGGTAAACCCTGCCACCTTCCAGATTCAATCGGCAGATGGTGACTACCACATCTATATTTGCATAATGTATCAATGAAATTGTAAGGTAAAAATGAAAAATATTTTCAAATTGTACATTTTTAAAAAAATACGATAACATAAAGTTTTAGGTGATTCTGCAACAAAAGCAAAGCATTCTTGTTGAAACTGGTCTTAAATACTCTTTGAGTTTTTGCTCAATACATGTTGACACCTATTTATCAACAAACTGTGCATTCCATATATTGGACCTACCATAATTATCAAAAATATTTTTTATATGATATCCACTTAGTTTCTATTCCGTAATCATTATGATATACACACACAAGTTTGTATAATACAACACAAATTTTAATTTCTTTTCCATTAAGAAGTCTACTCCAGAAATTGATCATTCGCAACTTTACAGACACAGTAATGGGGTATCTTCCAAGCTCTGAATACACTATGAAATTTTGGGCTGTTTTAAATGTAAAATCATTTTACAAAATTGTAAATGTACACGTTCAAGTATATCTATATTTTGAAATCCCCATATTTCTGAACCATATAAAAGTATTGGTAAAACCATTTTATCAAACAGATCAAGTTGACATTCTATTGACAAATTGTTTTGTCTACATTTTGTTAATACACTATACATAGCTTTTGTGGCTTGTTCCTTGAGATATTTTTTATTTGATAAAAAGCATCCACTTCTAGAAAATAAAATACCTAAACATTTGTATGCTTTTACAATTTCAATATCGTTACAATTTACTGTGAACTTGAGATTTGCTGGCATTCTGCCACTGGAAAAGATCAAAACTTTAGTTTTGTTTGTATTTATTTTCATTTTCCATTCTTCACAATATTCGTAAAAAGTATTTAACATGTATTGTAGATCAGTACTATTCTCTGCTAATAAAACAGTATCATCCGCATATGAAAGTAAAAATAATTTCAAAAACATTGTCAGCTCATTTTCGATATCTTGTGATATCGATTTTAAGCCAGTTATATTTTTCTCTTCAAAAAAAGTTTGAAGATCATTTAAAAATATAGAAAACAGAGCAGGTGAAAGGTTTTCTCCTTGCCGTACCCCCATCTCACAAGGGAAGAAATCGGATTTTTTTGTCCTGATGTATAATACGAGATTTGGCATAATCATACACATTCTGAATAACACGAACAAATTTTCTATTTACTTCATTCTGCAATAATTTAAACAGAAGTAAATTTCGCTGTAAAGAGTCAAACGCTTTTTTCAAAGTCGATAAAAGCACAATGTAATTTTTTCTTTCTCAATTTCAATAATTCAAATAAAATATGTATGGTAAAAATGTATTCAGTCGTAGAGTAATCACTCCTAAAACCTGCTTGATTTTCATTTAGTATACATAATTCATCAAGATAATTGCATAATCTTGTGTTCAATATTGAAGTAAAAACTTTACCCAGAGTAGATAATAACGTTATAGGCCTATAGTTTTGTGGATCTTTTTCAGAGCCTTTGTTTTTTGATCGCATCTTTTTCATTTTGAAACGTAAATTTTCATTAGATGATCTAATATTTTTGTCCATGGTTTTTGTCGAGCCTGCGACTTTTGTCGCAAAAGCGAGTCATAGCGATCCTACATTCCGTCGGCGTCGGCGTCGGTGTCGTCGTCGGCGGCGGCGGCGTCCACAAATATTCACTCTGTGGTTAAAGTTTTTGAAATTTTAACAATTTTCTTAAACTATCCTGCATTTCAACCAAACTTGGACAGAAGCTTGTTTATGATCATAAGATAGTATCCAGAAGTAAATTTTGTAAAAAAAAAATCCTGTTTATCCGTATTTTACTCATAAATGGACTTAGTTTTTCTGCCAGTTAACATAACATTCACTCTGTGGTTAAAGTTTTTTCAAATTTTAATAACTTTCTTAAACTATCCTAGATTTGTACCAAACTTGGACAGAAGCTTGTTTGTGATCATAAGATAGCATTCAAAAGTAAATTTTGTTAAAAAAAATCTTGTTTATCCGTATTTTACTTATAAACGGACTTAGTTTTTCTGCCAGTTAACATTACATTGACTCGGTGGTTAAAGTTTTCAAAATTTTAATAACTTTCTTAAACTATCCTGGATTTGTACCAAACCTGGACAGAAGCTTGTTTATGATCAAAAGCTAGTATCCAGAAGTAAATTTTGTATAAAAAAATCCTGTTTATCCGTATTTTACTCATAAATGGACTTAGTTTTTCTGCCAGTTAACATAACATTCACTCTGTGGTTAAAGTTTTTCAAATTTTAATAACTTTCTTAAACTATCCTAGATTTGTACCAAACTTGGACAGAAGCTTGTTTGTGATCATAAGATAGCATTCAAAAGTAAATTTTGTTAAAAAAAAAATCTTGTTTATCCGTATTTTACTTATAAACGGACTTAGTTTTTCTGCCAGTTAACATTACATTGACTCGGTGGTTAAAGTTTTCAAAATTTTAATAACTTTCTTAAACTATCCTGGATTTGTACCAAACCTGGACAGAAGCTTGTTTATGATCAAAAGCTAGTATCTAGAAGGAAATTTTGTAAAAATTTATTTCCTGTTTTTCCGTATATTACTTATAAATGGACTTAGTTTTATTCCAGTTAACATTACGTACAGTCTGCAGTTAAAGTTTTTAAAACATTTATTAGATTCATAAACCTTCTTGGATTTTTACCAAACTTGAACAGAACTTCTTACAATCAAAAGATAGTATCTAGAGGAAAATTTTTAATAATTTTTTCCCCATTTTAGTTGAGCCTGCGACTAACAGCAAAAGTAGGCGAGACACTGGGTTCAGCGGAACCCTTACGAATATTTTTATATAGAGTCTCACTACGTCTCATTTGTTCCTTGAATATCCGTGAACCATACCGTTTATATAACCTTTTGATTTTCTAAACGCTCTCCTTTCCCGGCGGCATTCTGAGATAAACCAATCACTGTGATTTGGTTTCCCTCCCTTAAAATCATATCCATAAGTTTTTTGTACGAATTCCCCAAATATATTTCTAATTTCAAATTTCAATTGTATTTCTAGCAGAATTGAGTAAAACATCTCTTATTTCATTTACAATTTCATCAATAGTATTTTTATTAACATTTTGTACATTTTCTGTTTCTGTTTCTGCAAGCATATGCATTCAGTGTCCAAACTAGTTTTGAGCAGCATATACATATTTTCGGACGCATGAAATTATTAAACGTGTTGTTTTCAATTTTTTATATACATATTTTGTACTTTCAAGTAGTTGTTATAAAAAGAGTTTCATACGTAAAATAAAATGCATTCCTCTGGCTTTCTCATTTGTTTTGGCCAGTTTTGTTTCTTCGGTCACACTGGTGTTCGGAGATTTATTTTATTGGAAAAAGGTTGAATGAATTCAGTTTATTGGAAACTACTGAAAGTAATCCTCGTATAGTACCGCATTTATAATACGAGATATTGCAGCATTCTTTTTCGCTTTATTCACAGAGTATGGAAAAACAGGATTTCTATACATCCAGTATTTGGTTAACAAAAATATCATGGAAAATGGCGGTTATGCTTTGGTTAATAACCCTCTTCTCGGAACAACAAATGAAGTTTACCTCCGAAAAATGGCTTTTCCGCCCTATTTAGAAGATAACATGCTGACAACTGTACAGACGACATTACCATTGTTTTTTGTTCTTGGATTTATACTCTATGTTATTATGTTGGCGAAGAATCTGGTTTATGAAAAAGAAATGAAACTAAAGGTAAGTCTTCAGTGTTCAATAATTTATTGTAAACAAAAACACCTAACGTGTCCCTTTGTCCTGTTTCAAAGGGTATGTATCTTTTTTGTTGGCATACAAGTGGGGGTTTTAGGTAGCTATAAAACTGTGTTTAACCCATCATTTTCTTTGAAAAATGCCTGTACCAAGTAGGGAATATGGCAGTTGTTTTTAACTTGTTCCGTTGCTTGATAGTGTTTGATTTTGTCAGTTTTTATAGACTTCCCCTTTTTGAATTTGCCTTGAAGTTCGGTATTTTTGTTATACTTTTTTTTGATAATACTGGACTAGAGTTTGTTCTAGATTCTGCTATCTGCTGTAACAGAATAGCTGGTGACCTTATTATTACAATTTCAGAAGTATATCGTCAAATCTAAGCTAAGTTAATTCATAATGAAACAATTTTAACTAATTCACTTCCTTAATCATTATTATTACGACTTTTTATAGCGTGTAAAATATGTTTAAAACCCCATTTGTATATTACGTAGTGGTGAGTCAAAATCTGGAATGAAACGATCAATACCATAGTCTTTAAATATTTATTTAATGTTAAGGCAAATATTACAATGTATGTTAAAATGAACTGTTTGAACAATATTTAAAGGTAGTTTCTGTTCTGTCTGGGTTTAGTTTGGATGCTGTTATTTTATTCTTTGTTTACTAAAACCCCTGGCAATTCGTCAAAGACACTTAAGGTCGAAATACATGTATTTAAGTCTTTAACCTTTTATTGTTTTGAGAGCGTTAAGATCTATAGTAGTTTTGATTTGGTGGTTGTGTCATTGACCTGATCTTTATTTTTGAATTAATAAGATGAAAACAGTTACACTGGATGCAGTGTGCATACACAACACATGAACAGGCAAAGTCTATGACAGAACTAAGTGCGGGTGCTTTTTTTATTATGATCTTTTTAAATCCTGTATTTTCACAACTCAATGAAGAGGCCAAAAAATGTGAGACTTCCAAAATTCCACATTTCGTGCTGACTGAATAATATAGTTATTACATGGTCGATACTTAAGCAGATAGTTGATTTTAAGCAAGTATAGTTTTTTTTCATTTTTTTCTGTAACTGTTCTTATAAGTTCAATGTGATCTACCACGACAGGATGAATACCTGCGGTTTTAGTGTTCTTAAACAACGAACAACGAATGATAATAGAATATATGTACATTATGAAATTCACTAGCTTATCTTAATAGGACGACAAACATGGCTGCAGAAAATATAACCCATCCTAAATTGTTTATTTTGAGAATATTTCATCTTTACAAAGTTGAGCTTCATTAATATAACGAAATTTATCTTTGGAAAACACAGACCTTTTCTTGACAAGAAATCAAACGAAAGACTTAACATTCATATAACTGCCGCTTCTACCTTAAAGATTGTGATATTCTGTAGTGAAAGCAAAGACTGAACGAATTGGAGTCAATCTAATGCTTGCGAGAGGGTTTTAATGTTTCTGCGCGGAATCATTGCTTTTGAACTACCAGGTAAAAGTTAAAGCAATTGTGTCGGTCCAAGTACATACGGACATTTAACATTTATTCAGCATTCATCATATTTTAATATTTTTAAGTAACGAATGAAAGGAGATAACTCGCACAAGTTAAACATTAATTCACCCATCCATCATAGTCCAGCATTTTTATCAGTATGAATACAAGGAGACGTGGAATATACATAAGCAAGATATCAATCTAACAAAAAACACAGGTATCTAGAGGACAAGACACTGTCTATAACAATACATAAGTATATAATATAATACGCCAAGCTTTACTTTAGGAGCCCAAAAAGGAGAAGACATTGGAATTCTTAGTTCCCGATAGGAAATTAGAAGAAGGTAGTAGAACCTTCTTTAAAGTTTACACAACATATTACGCTGTAATAAAAGTGGATGTTGATTATCCTACGATCTTTTATTTCTATATTCATGAAAGGTGAATTCTTAAGTCAATGTTCGCTTTTCATAAACTAACTTATTCAGTAATTAATGTAAATATCGATCGATCGAGAGAGAGAGAGAGAGAGAGAAGATAGAAAACTACAATGATCTATTGAATAGTTGTCGTTAGATGGAAAAAAATATTATTAATAAGGCTGGATTCTAAAACTAATGAAGCCAGTAAGATAATCGTACATTAAAAATATGGCTGTACATCAGATCAAAGACGATAATGATTGATTTTATTACCTGTATGTGGGATAGGTTAGTCATATGCCAATATTTAAAAATAGACGTCAGAATGTAGAATGGTAAATTCTTTTAAAACAATATAAGGACATCACAGTGCATTTAGTACTGTTACTAAATACGTCTATTTCATGGTATATAATATACACTGTTATAAGTAAAACCAGTCATGATTCATTGATCAAAAAGATATACGATATTTATTAGTATAAAATCCAAACAATGGGATTGTTACTTAATACAAATATAACACAAATAAACAAAACAAATATGTACCATTGACAAAAAAAAAAACATAAGTTTGTTTATTTTTGCTATTTGTTATTTCTTAGATGCTAGACAACATGCATCTCCTCAAATTATGAAAAGTGTTGGCTTTTATTCACTGGGTTCGACAACCATTTCATTAAACTGATAAGTTATTCTATCTGAAATTATGGTATATGCATTAAATAAAGGCAATAGTAGTATACCGCTATTCGAAATTCATAAATCGATTGAGAAAAAAACAAATCCAGGTTACAAACTAAAACTGAGGGAAACACATCAAATATAAGAGGAGAACAACGACACAACAGAAACACAACACTAAAATGCAACACACACAGAAACGAACTATAATATAACAATGGCCATTTTCCTGACTTGGTACAGGACATTTTAAGAAAAAATGGTGGGTTGAACCTGGTTTTGTGGCTAGCCAAACTTCCCGCTTTTATGGCAATGTTAAATATAACATTAAAATGACAAGATTACATGACAGGACTACAATACAAATAAACGGGAGAACATACAGGACAGAGACATTAAAACTGACCATGACAAACATTTCAGAAGAATAAACTTAAAACAGATGGTCATCAATTATTAAAAGTGTCTTTATCGCCCCGAGTCTAGAAAAAGTTGTCAATAATTTAACGAGGCTATAACAAATCTGCAATAAATATAAAATTTCCTAGAGGACACACTATTTAGATTTCAAATTAGATTAAGACAACCGCTGACAAGGTTCACAACCTTCGGACAAGCATATGAATAAGCGGGGAAGGTTAAACTAGTCTTTTACCACATATTCTTATTTTTATAAAAACAGTTCATCTCAACTCGCTTTTTATAGTTATAAGCAAGATTTAAATTTTTTTTTTTTTTATTTTTCTGTATTGCAATTCTGTAATAATTTACACTTGACATTACACAAGAATAGGGCTTCCCGCAATGTTGATGGCGTAACTGTATGAACTACAGCGACCGATATTAGAATGTACGACACCATTGTTTCGTAATCATTAAAGTAGGTACTTTGAGCTGATTTCAGTAACTACCAGTAGTATTTGATGCGGTATTATTAAGAATTGTTTAAATATTACACTCTAAGTAATGTTTTTTTTCCATTGTCTCCAAAAGTTACGGAATCCTATTCAAATATCTGCATTGGAGATTTCATCTTATAATATGTTATACAAATAATGCTGTTCATTCTTAATATACAGATAGTCCCAATCACCTGCAAAACAGAGATTATGGTCTTTTTAAGGAGGTGAATGCGTTTAACCAATGGTAAAGAATTTAAATATTTATTCTACATCTAAGATTAGAATTCCCGTATAGACAAAGTTGACCTTAGATGATTTTGGCTGTTTTATATAAGCTTTTTGGGGTTTAATGAGTGTGTATTTGTATTTCCAACCTTCTGTTCTCACGTGTACTTGACGAAGACCTTTCCAGTAACAAGTGTTGTGCTCCTTGTAGATCTCCTAGACATGGTTTAATTTAGACGATTCTGTCTATTTTTGTTTTGGACCCTTTGGTTTCGGTGTTCAAAATTGACTTTTCAGACTTTGTGCATGGTCTCGAGCGTACAAAATGGAAGTTATTCCATAATCATGATCACGTGTCGTGGTGCAGTGAAATCGGTATCATACATCTTTATTGCTTGAAAAAAAAGCTTGACACAAATACTAGCCGACAAGGTGGCAAAAGCTATGTTTAATGAAGAAGATATTCAAAGGATACACATGGAAAAGAAAGGATACGGTGTATAAATTCATAACACAAAATCACTAAGAGCACATAAGAAGAACAGTACAAAAGGAACAGCGCTTTTATTGGAGTTCTTTATCATAAAGTAACAGCGAAACCTTGAACATGGAGCATAAATAAAACTCACCCTGCTGCAAGTTTAAGAATGCACCTTGCAACGGTTTGAACGATATTCTTTGCTAGATGTCAACCAAGCTACGTCTGTACATAGAAGAACACAGCTGTAGGTAATATCAACAAAAAGTATACTAGTATAGATTATACCTGGCAAAGAAATTTTACAAATTCTGTCATGAACTGCACGACAATCTTACTACAAGTTACATAAAACAAATAGTGACCTCGGTAGCCGAGTGGTCTTAATAGTTTAAATACTTTATCACTAGCCTGTCAATACTGAGGTTGTGAGTTCGAACCCCGCACATGGCAAGTAAGCTCGACTCTAATCTCAATTGACTAAGATAGTCAGTTTCCTTACCGAAGGTCCGGGCGACTTTGAAGGTCTTCTTTTTGACATTGACATTAAACTAAGGATCGTTTCTTTCAAGGATGACTTCAGTTATTATTCTTGAAAACCTAACCAAGTTATAGTCTATTACATTATATTATTACATAAAATGTAGACTGTAAATAATACCTTTATAAGAGATGTAAATATATCAAGAAATTTGATAAATGAAGTTTTGACAAATATATCAGACAATGAATCAGTCACGTAATCTTTTCTAAACGTGAAACTATTGTTGAATTCTCCGTAAAGGTTTTTCCTCTGGGGCAAGTTTTTTAAACAGCCAATTCATTTTGTTTTTTTTAAACTCGTAAATCAATTTTCAATGGAACATTGTGATCGACACATTTTTACTTTCTATAAGGGTTTATAAATGAAAACGGTAGGTTAACAAGGTTTTATGTCTCCCCTTACCCCCATTTAAATGGAATTTACTTCCGTATAAATAATTTCTCTGAGTTAGAGAAATCGAGAACTTTTACACAAACTAAACAAATCTGTAATGTCATATAAGCATACATATAGACGTGTGTCAAATATAGATAAAACACAAACAAGAAACAGATTTGAATATACACAAGCAAAACAACTAAGAGTGCCCTGTCCTCAGCTTTAATGACTGTTATCAAGGAAACTGCTACTTTTGCATGCTATAGATACTATAACCGGCTATTGGTACGGCAGATACAATAGGATCTGTGTTCCCGATGGCTATTAGAAACGGTAGTCTTGGCAATCGTGTTCAGCAAATTTTGATGTGTAACCTATTGCATCTGTCGTTCCAATAGCCTGTAGATAAACTCATCATAGATACCAGGGTACCAGATTTTTAACAGAGTGGGGTATATTTAAGGAAGACAACAGTACCACTAGTTTACAAACAGATTGTAGTAGAAACTTTAGTTTAATCAAGGAGGTTGTATGGTTCAATCATTGTTGGTCGCTCTTGAAGGCCATACGATAATGTGTAGTTTACATCCTTTTCCTTTGGTGGTTAGTCGTCCGATTGGCAATTATACCACATCTCACATTTTATATAAATAGTACTGTATACAAATAAAAAAGAAAATAGTCAAGTTTTAATCATAAGAGACAATATCTGAAGCGGCGAATGTACGTCGTTTAATTGTGTGCTCATATTGTGAAGATGTCCACTTTACAGTCCACCATTAGGACCTGTGATTATAGTACACTGAACTGTCAAACTCGAAAAACGTTTGACTACAAATATCTGTATTCATATCTACAAGCTTTCAGGCTATATCTATTATCTTTTATTTCCTTTGTGATCTATTTCTTTTATAATTGTATTTGCGAAAAGATCCCGTCATTATCTAGACGGTTTCAAGTTGTAATTTTAAATCATTTTTTTATGTAAATAATTGGTATTTTTCACGTTTTGCATTTTGGAGCAAAATGACTACATTTTTACATACTAATGTCACAAGTGTACTTGGTATCAAATAAAGAGCAGGACATTAAGACATATCTTTTCTTTTGAGTCATTTGTTTTATTTCCAGGATTTTCTTTCTTTACTGTTTTTATTTATTTATACATATATTTATCATGTATGAACAATGTTTTTTTTTTGTGCTTATTGTACTGATACAGAGAATACATGGTTAATTTATTTCATTATTATACCCTTTATCAGAATTTCTCACAGTATTTCGTCCAAAGCATAACTTCGAAGACGGGCAATTTTGAAGACAGGTTTCCGACCTTTTTTCATTACATTTTAAACATAGTTTTTGTGACTGTTTTGAATGTAGTTTGGCCCGAGTTTATCTCGTTCTTGCTGGGGTTTCTAGGTCGGCGGGATTGTTTAAGAAGGAGTATTTTTGATAATTTTTACGACTTATTATACAGTTATTTATTTTGATATACATTGTAGTTATACTACACATATTATAATATTTGTATTTATCAATTCGAAATAGATCCGGTGTCCTCGAGTTCATGTTTGACAGTCGGCAAATTTGATATTTGTTTTATTATCACATGTATTATTTATAATATTAAAATTTATGGGATAATTATCTATAAGATTACATTAGCAAAGTGTGTACCAAGTCATATTATCTATTTGGTCTTCGAATGGTTTTTTAATTCTTTAATCGGACCATAGTGATAGTTTTGTTTTGCGCTTGTTAGTTACCTACTAAACATCTTTTAACCATTTCATTTCGGAGATGGTAAATAATACTTCCTCCGACGGGAACATAATTACACGGCTTTAGCAAATCCTCTTGATTCAATGTCGGATTTTGTTGTTATATTTAAAAAATTTCAACTCTCAATGAAAAATTCTTAAGTCATTCCCAAAGCGGATGGATCAGATGTTTTAAATTGCGATTTTTGAATTTTTGAACTACAAAAAGAGCCACAAGTAAACCCTCATTCCTTTTTGGCAACACTCTTCGCAATAAGGGTGCATACTTTAACGACAGTCCTTTAACAACGAAAATTAATTGAACGCTACCTTCAGTATATAGGGCCTCAATATTATCCCAGATGCACTGGGCGAACCGTTGGATGCAATAAGCCCTTATCACAAGAGTCAAACGTTTCCTTTTTATTTTATTTATCACATGATTACAGTACATCCTATTTACAAAAACAAAATCCGAAAATTTCCCGTCCCAAACTCTCCTTGTTGAAAAGCCTGGATTTTTCATGTACTTTCATGCAATAAGTCATTGATAAGCTGAATAAGATGTTGTTTTGCACCAAACTTTCATAGACTTCTTCATTCCCCCTTCCATTTCATTGCCTTGGCAGATGCCATTTGAAGTAAGCTTCAAAGTTGCTCCATTGTTAATCTACTGACAAAATTGTGCTCAATTATGGATTATTGTTTAACGTCCAGTGGCAAACATAACATGAACATCAGATTAAGAATATGGTAATGTGATATGAATATGAACCCTGCTTTGTACAAGACTGACAGACTAAGTCGGGTTCTTGTGTGCTAGTTCACAAGGTAATTATAGTCCACAAGAAGACATGTCACCCTATACCCCAACACATTATTCCGACTCCAAGTCGACCAGATTTGCTCTTAAATGCCCTTGAGCTTTGATGAACCATTATCTACCCACCCTATCTCGTTAGATGACGTTGTATTCTGTATTCAAAGTACAGTGTATATCCCGGGTTTCCGGGTAACTATTCAGTACATTGTATTTGTAAAAGTTCCTGATTTTTCTTCATCATTATTTTTCTTTTTTTTTTTTATTTTATGGTTCATTACAATTTGATAGATTACAAAGATATAACATGTGTAACTTTTCCAAATAAAAGTCAGGGCACTGAAAGCAGGAGACAACAAAGGTCACTAAAATCAATTAGAATTATCATTATTTACATTGTTGTCAAAAAGTTTTCGACAAGAAAGCAATTGTGTCTTAGAAATAAAATTTTTAGAGCCGAGTGTAATGTGCTGTTAAGTGCCAAAAACAAGCATTTGAGTCTTCCTGGTAAAAAGATTAACACGTTGTTCTAAATGTGTAATATATATGAAAATAGCTGGTAATTGTATATGTACACCCACAATGGTTACGAGAACACAGATTATTGGTACAACAGGTTAATTGAAAGGCTAACTGTTCCTTTATTTAAGCAATTGATTTGCTAGACTATATCATATTTAAGTGAAATATCACTAACAAAACCATAATTGATTTTTAAAATCTATGATTAAAATTTTATTTTATCCGCAACTTCAAATGAATTAATCTTATCCATATTGTTTTATACCAATCAAGGGAGTTCGGATACAAATATTATCACCATGAATGATTCTAATTTTTTTCAGGAATCTATGAAACTGATGGGAATGCACGTGTCGATGTACTGGTTGTCATGGTTTATATTTTCATTGATATACATGCTCCTAGCCTGCATCTTCTTCACGATCTTTTTCTCCATTAAACTGAAAGGGGTTGCAGTTTTCACAAATTCCCAGCCGTCCATAGTATTTGTGTTTTTATTGAGTTACGGGTTATCGCTGATAGCATTTTCTTTCATGGTCAGCACATTTTTCCAGAGAGGTAATACTATGAAAATTATGTTTTTTCTGTCATATTATATAAAAACAAAAAGATGTGGTATGATTGCCAATGAGACAACTCTCCACCAGAGACCAAATGACGTAGAAATTAGTCCGTTTTTTAGATGTTATGAAATCGAAACGTAAATTATATTTACTGTAAAATGAAACAAGGAGATTATATAAAACGTACTGATTTTTTTTCTTCAAATTCATACCTTTAAAATGTACTTTATGATTTCTATGTTAGCTGAAACTATTAAAACAAAACAAAAAGGGTAGAAAAAGACGAATAAAGTTTAAAATTTTGAAATAAACAAATTCTTCAAAACTGATAAAATGTAATTATCTTTATTCAGCAAGTGTAGCAGCACCAGCTGCGGGAATTATATTCTTCTTGGTATATTTCCCGTACTTTTTCCTGAACCAGGACGAAACGTTTGCCAGTATGACCAGTATGCAAAAGGGACTAGCATGTGGCCTTAACAATGTTGGAATGGCAATAGGTGTAAAATTAATTGCTCAGTATGAAGGAACAGGTAAATTGTTTTACAATAATAACTTTATTGGCAAATTACATTCGTATAGTTCAAAATAATGTGTTCAAACTGTTGACATCAGCATTTTCATAACTGAATACTTTATATTTTAGAATTTGAAAAACTGATTAAAGTTTTGAAACTTTTCGTATAATGGAGTTCCATTTCGGGTGTTTGTTTGAGGGGAGAGATATTGGAGTATACACCATGTTTCCACGTCCGTTTTTGCACACACGTTTTTCTGTTGCACAACTTAGAAATAAATATTACTTCCTTCCTCATTACTAGCGGGGGAACCTTACTCAGTTGGAGGGGGAAGGGACAATTCATGTATCGTATGGTTAGTTGGAGTAGGCGATTTGAATACACTTGGCATTAACGCTCATATCCGCTTCTTTTCTGTAACACACCTTAAAAACTATGAATTTCTTCATAATAATTTTCAGAAGCGTAGCAAAGTTTCGATTAGACACAGATTCTAATTTCTAGTTTTCCAGTTTATACCTACTAATTTCAGGTGCAGGTTTGCAGTGGAATAACTTTGTTAATCCTCCTACTGTTGATCAAAACTTTTCCATGCTGGCAGTTATACTTATTTTACTTCTTGACACATTAGTATATATGCTGATTGCTTGGTACGTTGATGCCATTTGCCCAGGAGATTTTGGAGTGCCACAGCCGCTTTATTTCCCATTCACGGTCAGTAACCTCATCAAATACCAACATAGTAGTGATCTTTCTCATTTTAATGAAATTTAATGAATTTATACTTCGCATGTTCCCTCAAATTGTTGTTAATTGTATCCACAAAATTGTATGTGTTTTCATGGTGAACAAAAAAATTAGACTAAAAGATAAAGCTTATTATTTCTATATAGATTTCAAACCATTTTTTCGGTATACATTTCAAAGCAGATCTCAAAAAGTCTATTTTTACTATAGTTCACAGTATAACTCCAGCTTGTTTCTTAACATATGGCTAAATAAAAATCGCATGAAAATAACTCAAAGTCGCAATTTTGACAAATTTAAAACTTCAAAGAGGACCATACGTTCAGTGTCTTTTGAGAAGGCTTAAAACATATTGTATTTCATATATAGATTAATTCGTTTTGATAAAAGATGTTCTTCGATGTAAAATTCTATAAAAATCATTAAAGATTCGTTACAAAAATGTCTTTAACTTTGTTAATGATTTGGATTTCCAACTAATTTGATTTCAGCAACACTTAGGAGTCTTGTGTAGAATACACGCGCGTCTGGCGTACTAGATAATACGCCTAGTATCTTTGATGATTTTTGTCGAGCCTGCGACTTTTGTCGCAGAAAGCTCGACATAGGGATAGCGATCCGGCGGCGGCGGCGTTAGCTAACTTCTTAAAAGCTTTATATTTTAGAAGATGATAGACCTGGATGCTTCATACTTTGTATATGGATGCCTCATGTTACGAAGTTTCCGTCAGTCACATGTCCAATGTCCTTGACCTCATTTTCATGGTTCAGTGACTACTTGAAAAAAAAGTTCAGATTTTTTGTAATGTTAAATTCTCTCTTATTATAAGTAATAGGATAACTATATTTGGTATGTGCGTACCTTGCAAGGTCCTCATGCCCGTCAGACAGTTTTCACTTGACCTCGACCTCATTTCATGGATCAGTGAACAAGGTTAAGTTTTGGTGGTCAAGTCCATATCTCAGATACTATAAGCAATAGGTCTAGTATATTCGGTGTATGGAAGGACTGTAAGGTGTACATGTCCAACTGGCAGGTGTCATCTGACCTTGACCTCATTTTCATGGTTCAGTGGTTATAGTTAAGTTTTTGTGTTTTGGTCTGTTTTTCTTATACTGTATGCAATAGGTCTACTATATTTGGTGTATGGAATGATTGTAAGGTGTACATGTCTAGCTGGCAGGTGTCATCTGACCTTGACCTCATTTTCATGGTTCAGTGGTCAAAGTTAAGTTTTTGAGTTTTGGTCTTTTTTTCTAATACTGCATGCAATAGGTCAGCTATATTTGGTGTATGGAATGATTGTAAGGTGTACATGTCTAGCTGGCAGGTGTCATCTTACCTTGACCTCATTTTCATGGTTCAGTGGTCAAAGTTAAGTTTTTGAGTTTTGGTCTTTTTTTCTAATACTATATGCAATAGTTCAACTATATTTGGTGTATGGAAATATTTTATGATCTATATGTCAGTCACGCAGGTTTTATTTGACCTTGACCTCATTTTCAATGTTCATTGCTCAGTGTTAAGTTTTTGTGTTTTCGTCTGTTTTTCTTAAACTATAAGCAATAGGTCAACTATATTTGTTGTATGGAAGAATTGTTAGATGTACATGCCTGCCTAGCATGGTTCATCTGACCTTGACCTCATTTTCATGGTTCATTGGTCAATGTTTAGTTTACTTGGTTAATGTTAAGTTTATGTGACAGTTGTAATAAAGCTTTATATTTAGGACTATCAACATAATATCAATGATTAGTAAAGAAGGCGAGACATTTCAGCGTGTGCACTCTTGTTTAAAAGGATTATTGAATATGTTGAAAGTTCCTATGACAGTTCAGTACCTATTGAGGTGATCACCGAAACTTCAAAGAGGACCATACTTTCAGTGTCTTTTGAGAAGGCTTACAACATATTGTAAAATTTGTGTATACATGATTTAAATTTACTGAAGCCCCTTTACTGAATTCAGATATTACCACTCCTACATCAATCATTATTTTGTTCTTTTCTTTTTCTATTTGCCTTAAATCTTTTCAAGTATTATATAAAACATTTCTTTTTAGCTGAAATGCAAGCAATGTTAATACTGAAATAAGTAGGAATAACCAACATTTTGTGAAGACAACCAGGAGAATGGACAAACCATAAATTGAAACTAGTTTTTTCAAATAATAGCCATTTTGTTTGAGTAATCTTCTTAAGAGGTTTTATTTTAATATTTTGCTATTGTTAATTTGTAGAAAACTTACTGGTGTGGTCATAATCATCCAGAAGATTTCGACGATCTCCGTACATCACACACAGCTAATCCAGACTTATTTGAAAGAGAACCAAGTGGTCTAAAAGTAGGAATCAGCATTGAAAATCTCCGAAAGGTATGTTGACACACAATGCTTGATAAACATGCAAAAGGATTTTTTTTTGTAGTTTGTAATCCAGAATCCTTAAATTACAAAACTATTACATTGATGTATATAACACATTTAGGCAAAATTTACCTTAAACGGTTTTAGTTGATCTATCATTATACGCCCTTTTGTTTTTTATGCTACCAAACGTTTGATATTTTTGGCTTTCCGAGAGTAGCTGATGATGGTTTCTGAATATAAATGTGTTATACATAAAGGATTCATATGATTTGTTTTTTAGACTAACACTGCCTTGTAAATATCAGTGCAAGTACAAGTATTTCAAAACATTTGAACACATTGTTACTGTATCTAAATAAGTTAGATGTTTTTACTTTCAAATATTTTCTGAACAAAGTTGCTTGATTTTTTTAATTTACAGCTATTTATTACTTTTGGTTTATGTGTTTTTAACAGAAAGTGGACATACCTATTGAAACCAACTGTGTTTCTCTCCTTTCCAACTTATTCTAATTTTCGTATGATACCGATTTCCTGTAAGATCTCACAAAAAGATAGAAGATAAAAGATTTAACTTCCCATTCTGCTAGATAGATGGTGTTGTTGAATAATTTAAAATATGTGTCTTAATTGATCGCGTTTATCGCATTGAAGCTGAAATTAAGGATACCACGGATTACGATATAGTTAAGTCTGCTTCAAATCTTGCCTTAATCTAGAATTTGGCTGAAAACTACACTTTCAGACAAAATAAATTAATTAAATTTTCCAATTGTGTGTTTCATTATTTTTGTTGAGCAACATCACAGCAAAACCTATATATGAGTTGTACATTTCCAAGTTGATACAATATTTCAGAATTTACGTTTGAAATCAGGATTTCTTTGATAAAAGTTTTTGTTTACAAGAAATCAATTAAACAATGGTTTGAAGTCCTCTCTTTGAAAGTTTTAATGATGTTATCATAATTTGATTGTCCATTTTGAAAATATCAGACGCCCATGGGTATTTCCCATTTGAGTTAGTCACAATATTTGTTCTCCATTTCTCGTTAATGGCATCATCGAATGCGACATCACTGGAATTTGCATGACATGAACAACACAACGGATGATTCTGTTTGAACAGTTGATTACCGATTTTTAATGGGGTTCGTAATGCTCAATCTTTATTCTGTATTCTGCATATTGTATTAAGAACAATTGTATGTCTTTCCTCTTTTGGAAATGGTGTTGTCCGTCTTACTTAGACTTAATTATTTTTCATTGACTCCTTGGGGTATTTTCTTACTTTTGTTCATTTAGTTGAACATGACCATGTGATTTGAGTCAACGGTCTTTTTTTTTATATCGACAAGAAAAATACATTCCTGGTAATTTGCTATTAATGTAGTCTAAACTGTGTACAAATTAGTCGCTAAAAGTCCTTAATTTTTCCGGTGAAATGTCCTTTCGATATGCTAATATCGATCTTTAATTTAAAAAAAAATAATTTATTAGTTCATGAAATCTATGAAGACAACCAGGAGAATGGACAATCCATAAATTGAAAATAGTTTTTGTCGAGCCTGTGACTTTTGTCGCAGAAAGCTCGACATAGGGATAGTGATCCGGCGGCGGCGGCGGCGGCGGCGGCGTTAACTAACTTCTTAAAAGCTTAATATTTTAGAAGGTAGAAAACCTGGATGCTTCATACTTTGTACATAGATGCCTTATGACATGAAGTTTCCATCTGTCATATGTTCATTGTCCTTGACCTCATTTTCATGGTTCAGTGACTACTTGAAAAAAGAGATCCGATTTTTTGTAATGTTAATTTCTCTCTTATTATCAGGAATAGGATAACTATATTTGATATACATGTGCGTACCTTGCAAAGTTTTCATGCCTGTCAGATAGTTTTCACTTGACCTCGACCTCATTTCATGGATCAGTGAACAAGGTTAAGTTTTCGTGGTCAAGTCCATATCTCAGATACTATAAGCAATAGGTCTACTATATTTGGTGTATGAAATGTAGATTCATCAAGTTGGGCGTAAATAACATCTGAGTAAGGTTCTATTGGTTTATTATAGTAATCTCAAATAAACACCCTGTAACATATAAAACACACAATAAGACACAATACATACGTTCAAAGAACGATAACTCTAATTATAATCTCCATATTAATAAAATAAAATATAAATTATCCAAGTAGTTAACTTCAGTTCGAAATATACCATATTTAATAAAGTATGTTTTTCTACAAATCATAAACATCTATACCAAAGTATATTTCCGGTAACTGTTCAATATGCAATTCTACAGATATCAATAACACCTTGTGTCAACGATCATTATCTAAAGTAATCAATTCTGATACACTATTCTATTCGGAGATATTCGTAAACTAAACAATAACACATTACAAACACAGACAAGACACACATTAATTAAAACACATAAGTACAAATAGACAACACGTAAATAAATAAACATGTAAACACAGAACACAGCTTACCGTGTATATAATACAAGGGCTGAGCAGTGCTCCTCTATAAAGTTACTGTATACTCTTATACTTCACATACTGGAATCTGAATATAAAGAAATATGACTTCATAAGTCTTAATGTCAAAACTAGTAAATAATATAGTTAAACTCAATGCAAGACAATATTCTATGCTGAAATCTAATAACAGCCAAATATGAAAAATAATATAATAACTGTAATATTCTTTCTGTCTTGCAAATACCAACTTAAAGTAAAAATATGAACTCTTTCATACTCATGGAAATCAAAGTGGACTTTCATACACATTTTCATAACACATTCATATCTTTTATACCAAGATAAAAATACAGAAATACATGCATCAAATACTAATGTAAAGAATATAACTGACCTGAATATAAAGAATGGTTTCCAGAATAAGAAGAATAAATATCTATAAATCACAATAAAGTGTCAGTGTTCTATATCTCTTGTGTAGAATTTGAAAAAAGTGCCTCAATATCAAAGGAGTTCACAGAGTAACCAATCAGAATAAAGAAATAGAATACCCAGGATGTAAATACCCAAGTGAATAGAAAATCAAAGTACTGTCATACTGTATACTCTGTCAGAATCAGTCAACAAGTCAATGCATGAACAAATATATACAAATACTATTTATTAACATAAATGATAAAATCAAGCTGTACTACAAACTCCCCTGCATTGGGAAATGACGTCCCCGTCATTGCAGTCAAGTTTTAACAAAATACAATATATAATACACATGTGAAGTTCTGACTCTCAGTACTTCTTTAATAACAATTCATGAAATTAACTATCAAACATATAAAAGATAAAACACAGATCTCAATCACTGAATTTCTAAGATGATTTCAAAATAATGTCTATTAAAGCTTTCCCAGCTTCTTTTTCTAATCCAGATAGAGTTCCATCCTTAATTGCAGAAGCCATAAATTCTGCTTTTGCTTTCCAATCACAAATCACTGCACTTTTTACAACAAAATCTCCAGACCTTAGCCACTTTGGTTCTCTCCTAGCACGACGCGACCTTCTAGGTGGAGGTATCGGAGTATGAACCAAATTATCTAATGTATCACTATCATTATCAGATTGAACGGTTTCATCTGCGTTCAATAATTCATTACTAGATTCATCAATTCCAGAAGCGCTTCCTAATTCAGAATCATCTCTGATTTCCTGAATATCAGATTGGGCGTCCCCAACTGATTCTGTTGTATCCTGTTCAATTTCCACTTCCTGTAATGCAACAGTATCCTCAGTACTTGTTGGAGCACTATCTGTTGTCATAACAGGTACAAAATAATATTCATCCTCTGATGAAGATTCACTAGCTAAGTCTGAAGTGTCTGTAACTATAACTGATTTCGGTTTCGGTGGTGATTTCATCGGTTTTAATCTAGGTTTCGGTTTCGGTGGAGTTTTAACGGTTTTGTCTGAAATATGGCCAATAGGTAGAAGTAGATTTCTATGGAGTGATCTTAATCTTCCTTCTCCATTTTCCTTTTTAACATTGAAAACAGGTATTTCTAAATTCGGTTGCGATAAAATTATATACGGTTCATCCTCCCACTTATCAGCAATTTTATGTTTTCCGTCGAATGCAACTTTCCTAACTAAAACCTTATCTCCTTTTTCAATCACTGCACCTCTTGCTCTGAGATCATAACCTTCCTTTTGTTTCGCCTGAGCTTTCCTTGAGTGTGCAGCTGCTAATTCATACGCCTTTACTAATCTGTCTCTTAACTCCTGAACATATTTTGTTTGCGGTTTGCGTTGTTTTTCTGTAACTAATCCAAAAGCTAAATCTATAGGTAATTGCGGCTCTCTTCCAAACATTAAAAAGTATGGTGATTGATTGGTTGATTCGTGTTTTGTACAGTTATACGCATGAACAAGTGATCCTACATGTAATTTCCAATTAAGTTTTTGATTCGGTTCCAAAGTTCCTAACATTGAGAGTAAAGTACGGTTAAATCTTTCTGTCATTCCATTTCCCATTGCGTGATACGGTGTAGTTCTAGATTTTTTAGTTCCCAAAAGTTTACAAAGTTCCTGTATTAAATTCCCTTCAAAATTTGCTCCTTGATCTGAATGTATGCGTTTCGGTATTCCGTAATGGACAATAAACTGGTGAAATAAAACTTCTGCTGTAGTTTTAGCGGTCTGATTCCTTGTTGGATAGGCTTGAGCGTACCTAGTGAAATGATCTGTCACTACTAACATATGCTGATGTCCTCCTCTTGATTGTTCCAAAGTTAAAAAATCTATGCATACCAATTCCAAAGGTTGTGAAGTTGTAATACTTACCAGTGGTGCTCTTGATGGTTGTTTTTTCCTTTTTATACACCGATCGCAGTTCTCAATCCAATTGTCAATATCTTTCGACATACCTGGCCAATAAAATCTATCACGCAATAATGATGTAGTTCTATCACGTCCAGGGTGTCCCATTTCATTATGTAAAGCCTCTAATACTGTTTTAACATAATCTGATGGTAGTACAAGCTGATTTAGTATCTTACCATTCCTATCTGTTACTTCTCTGTATAAGATGTTGTCGATCAGTTTCATAAATAATAATATAATAGTAAATAATATAGTTAAACTCAATGCAAGACAATATTCTATGCTGAAATCTAATAACAGCCAAATATGAAAAATAATATAATAACTGTAATATTCTTTCTGTCTTGCAAATACCAACTTAAAGTAAAAATATGAACTCTTTCATACTCATGGAAATCAAAGTGGACTTTCATACACATTTTCATAACACATTCATATCTTTTATACCAAGATAAAAATACAGAAATACATGCATCAAATACTAATGTAAAGAATATAACTGACCTGAATATAAAGAATGGTTTCCAGATTAGGAAGAATAAATATCTATAAATCACAATAAAGTGTCAGTGTTCTATATCTCTTGTGTAGAATTTGAAAAGAGTGCCTCAATATCAAAGGAGTTCACAGAGTAACCAATCAGAATAAAGAAATAGAATACCCAGGATGTAAATACCCAAGTGAATAGAAAATCAAAGTACTGTCATACTGTATACTCTGTCAGAATCAGTCAACAAGTCAATGCATGAACAAATATATACAAATACTATTTATTAACATAAATGATAAAATCAAGCTGTACTACAGAAATGATTGTAAGGTGTTCATGTCCAACTGGCAGGTGTCATCTGACCTTGACCTCATTTTCACGGTTCATTGCTCAATGTTAAGTTTTTGTGTTTTGGTCTGTTTTTTCTAATACTGTATGCAGTAGGTCAACTGTATTTGGTGTATGGAAATATTTTACGATGTATATGTAAGTCTGGTAGGTATTATTTGACCTTGACCTCATTTTCACGGTTCATTGTTTAATGTTAAGTTTTTGTGTTTTGGTCTGTTTTTTGTCGAGCCTGCGACTTTTGTCGCAGAAAGCTCGACATAGGGATAGTGATCTGGCGGCGGCGGCGTTAGCTAACTTCTTAAAAGCTTCATATTTTAGAAGGTGGAAGGTCTGGATGCTTCATACTTTGTATATGGATGCCTCATGTTACGAAGTTTCCGTCAGTCACATGTCCAATGTCCTTGACCTCATTTTCATGGTTCAGTGACTACTTGAAAAATAGTTAAGATTTTTTGTAATGTTAAATTCTCTCTTATTATAAGTAAAAGGATAACTATATTTGGTATGTGCGTACCTTGCAAGGTCCTCATGCCCGTCAGACAGTTTTCACTTGACCTCGACCTCATTTCATGGATCAGTGAACAAGGTTAAGTTTTGGTGGTCAAGTCCATATCTCAGATACTATAAGCAATAGGTCTAGTATATTCGGTGTATGGAAGGACTGTAAGGTGTACATGTCCAACTGGCAGGTGTCATCTGACCTTGACCTCATTTTCATGGTTCAGTGGTTATAGTTAAGTTTTTGTGTTTTGGTCTGTTTTTCTTAAACTAAAAGCAATAGGTCAACTATATTTGTTGTATGGAAGAATTGTTAGCTGTACATGCCTGCCTAGCATGGTTCATCTGACCTTGACCTCATTTTCATGGTTCATTGGTCAATGTTTAGTTTACTTGGTTAATAATAAGTTTATGTGACAGTTGTAATAAAGCTTTATATTTAGGACTATCAACATAATATCAATAATTAGTAAAGAAGGCGAGACATTTCAGCGTGTGCACTCTTGTCTAATACTGTATGCAGTAGGTCAACTATATTTGGTGTATGGAAATATTTTACGATGTACATGTCAGTCTGGCAGGTTTTATTTGACCTTGTCCTCATTTTCATGGTTCATTGCTTATGTTAAGTTTTTGTGTTTAGGTCTGTTTTTCTTAAACTTTAAACAATAGGTCAACTATATTTGGTGTATGGAATGATTGTAAGGTGTATATGTCTGTCTGGCAGGGTTCATCTGACCTTGACTTCATTTTTATGGTTCATTGGTCAGTATAGAATTTACATGGTTTGGTCTGTTCCTTTTATACTATAAGCACTAGGTCATCTATATTCTGTGTACGGAATGATTGTATTACGGGTGTACATGTATTTCCAGGTTGGTTTATCTGACCTTGACCTCATTTTCTTGGATCATAAATGTTAATGTCATACTTATAGTAAGACTATCAACATAAAATCAATGGTCAGTATAGTAGGCGAGACATTTCAGCGTGTGCATTCTATTTTAAATAATAGCCATTTTGTTTGAGTAATCTTCTTAAGAAGTTTTTTTTAACACTTTGCTATTGTTAATTTGTAACATTTTCAGGTTTATGGAAAGGGAAAGAAAAGAAAGGTTGCTGTAGAAAATACCACTCTCAACGTCTTTGAAGGTCAGATAACAGTACTTCTAGGTCATAACGGTGCAGGAAAAACAACAACTATGTCTATGTTAACTGGTGAGTCAACTATGAAATAAGGTTAACTTCTTTGAAAACTAAGCTGTTCAACTTAATTACTATTCAATTGCTTAAATGTTTTATAATCAAATAAAAAGCAGATATAGCCATATGTAGCAACTCTTGCTGATTTTTTTTTTCTTTTTTTTTAGGCTTTATACCACCAACAAGAGGAACAGCTAAAATAAATTCCTATGATATAAGAAAGGACATAACGAATGTTAGACGTAGCCTGGGGTTGTGCCCGCAACACAACATACTTTTTGATACGCTCACAGTTAAAGAGCATCTTATATTTTACGCAAAGGTAACCTACAATTTTACGTCTTTTCGCGTTTTTGCGTTTTTACCTTTAAGAGGTCAACTGTATTTGGTGTATGGAATGATTAAAAAGTGTAAATGTTTGTCTGGTAGTGTTCATCTTACCTTGATCTGATTTTTGTCGAGCCTTCGACTTTTGTCGAAAAAGCGAGACATAGCGATCCTACATTCCGTCGTCGGCGTTGTCGTCGTCGTCGTCGTTGTTGTCGTCGTCGGCGGCGTCCACAAATATTCACTCTGTGGTTAAAGTTTTTGAAATTTTAATAACTTTCTTAAACTATCCTGGATTTCTACCAAACTTGGAAAGAAGCTTGTTTATGATCATAAGATAGTATCTAGAAGTAAATTTTGTAAAAAAAAAATCCATTTTTTCCGTATTTTACTTATAAATGGACTTAGTTTTTCTCCTAGGAAACATTACATTCACTCTGTGGTTAAAGTTTTTGACATTTTAATAACTTTCTTAAACTATCCTGGATTTGTACCAAACTTGGACAGAAGCTTGTTTATGATTAAAAGCTAGTATCTAGAAGGAAATTTTGTTAAAATTTTGTTCCATTTTTTCCGTATTTTACTTATAAATGGACTTAGTTTTTCTTCCAGTTAACATTACATACAGTCTGCAGTTTAAGTTTTTAAAACATTTATTAGATTCATAAACTATCCTGGATTTTTACCAAACTTGGACAGAAGCTACTTACAATCAAAAGATAGTATAGAGAGGAATATTTTTATTAATTTTTTTCCTCATTTTGGATGAGCCTGCGATTAACAGCAAAAGTAGGCGAGACACTGGGTTCCGCGGAACCCTTACGAATTTTTATGTTTTACTGACAAACGTTAGATTCAAGTTGTTATGGCCATTTCTCAGATACTATAAACAATATGTCAACTATATTTGGTGTTTAAAATGATTGTAAGGTGTACATGTCCTACTGGTAGGGTTCATCTGACCATGATCTCATTTTCATGTTGATTAGACAAACGTTTAGTTTTCGAGGTTAGGTCCGATTTAGAAATCAGTATTGTTAAAATTATTGACACTTAAGAAGGCTATTTGTTAAGCCGAAATATTTGTCAACACGATTTAATAACAACATCTTCGTATAATACCATCTTATTAGTATCGTTGTGCAAATCTCTAGACATATCATTTTTTCCTTATCTGCACAGTATCGTCTATTCTAGACGATCCGGTACATAGTAAATTTGCTGGTTGGTCCTTTTTATAGACTTCTATATATATATATATATATATATATATATAATACTTGCAGATGAAAGGCTGTCCAAGTGATCAAATTTCAAAGGAAGTGGAAGAAATGGTAAAAATAATTGGTCTGGAACAGAAGTTAAACAGATATTCAATGACATTATCTGGTGGGCAGAAACGAAAGTTATCTGTTGGAATCGCATTGATAGCAGGCTCAAAGGTAAGAACCCTGTTGGAACAACCATTTTACAAGCATGGATTAGGAATACATTGTAATTACATTGAAATTCTTAACTCCATCATCCTGTTTTTCCCATTTGAATTGCAAATTCCCTTCCCCGCAATTGAATGCTCGTTCCATATAAGACGGTACTCATACAATTTGCCAATACGGGACAGTGTGTTGTATAAACAATACCTTCATAATGATTGATCATCAGACCAAGGAATTCTTAAGAAAAATCACAAAGATAAATTGTAAAATAGACAGACTTTATTTAGAACAATAAACATGACACACAGTTAGTAATATTGCCTCTTTCGATTATTTGTTTGTTTAAAAACTTTTATAATCTCTTTCACTTGCTTAATGGGATTATTATGATTTACTGCTTTGATAATTTCTATTAAAATAAAGAACTAACTAGATATCAATATTTCCCTTGGTGTAAAAAGATACCTGGAATGTGAATTGCATGTAACCAAATGTAAGCTGCTTTGCTATAAAATTGTGTCTATTGCTAGTTTGTAATGCTTGACGAACCTACGTCTGGTATGGATCCAGCAGCTAGGCGACAAACTTGGGATGTCCTTCAAAAGTTTAGAAAAGATAGAACATTGGTTCTCACAACACATTTTATGGATGAAGCTGATCTTCTTGGAGACAGGATCGCTATAATGGCAGATGGTGTAGTGAAGTGTTGTGGAACTTCACATTTTCTAAAGAAGAAATATGGTAAGTTAAAGTAGCAGCTGTTTTTGGACAGATTTTATTTGAAGAAATCAAAATACAGAAATGATATTTCATATGTATATTTGTTATTTACAAACACGTCACATTTCAATATCTTTTAATTTATTTCAAGAGAATGTTACGCATTAATTTCACTATGTTATTAACGTTTTTTTTTCATATGATATTTGTGTGTGTTGATGTTCGATTTACAAGAATGCACGCATTGTCATCCTAAGCAAACCCCACAAGCAATTTAAAGTATCAGAAAAAAAGGAAGTAAGTTTCTTACAGATCCAACAATGTCGCAAACGCTTAAGATAATCCCTATCAAGCTGCTTTCAAAATATGCCTGATTGTATGAATTTTTCTTGATTGTATTTAAAGGTGCAGGATACCACCTTGTGATGGTAAAGAATCAGTCTTGTAACGTTAGTACAGTCACACAACTTATTCAATCTCACATACGTACTGCAACACTAGAAAGTGATATTAGTGCAGAACTATCATACTTGCTTCCATTTGATGAGTCGAGCAAATTTGAGAACCTGTTTAAGGATGTAGAGGCAAAGAAAAGTCAGCTTGGGTTGACTAGTTTTGGAACAACTGCTACTACTATGGAAGAAGTCTTTCTTAAGTAAGTCTGGAAGTAAATCTTAAGGACATTGAAAACCTTACTTGACACAGTAACGTAAAGTTCATTTTCGAGTGTTTGAATAGTTCTAGGTGAACGAAACCGTAGTTTTAGATGGTACATAATGAAAATAGATAAAAACGAAAACAGAAATCCCAGAAAATCTTTTAGAAAAAGCAAAACAGAGTGTTGACAGGGCGATTTTTTCTTAATATACAAACTTAACCTAACAATCGATTCAATGTCAAGTTCAGGAGGAGGTTAATCTGAGGTGGTATATTAGACTCAGTGATATGATCTATGATGATAAAACATGTACAAGTTGCCTCTATCAAGTATATTGATTTAATAAGAATTAAAACAACTCTTGAATGGATTTTGCTTAACTTAAACCCAAACGTAGGCTAGAAAGAAAAAGAACAAGTTTGAATCATGAATTTTCTTCTAAAGGAAAGATTTCTCTATCTTAGAATCAATACATACAAATGTCCCAAGCCGTATCGTTACTGCAACAAACAATCTCTTTTACTATGAATTTAGGTCTCATTGAAGTAAAGTTCACAGGGTGTCTCTATGATACAATAGACCAAAATTGGTCAAGAGTCCCATAACTCTTTAATAAAAATTTCAAACCAAAATGACGGTATATTATGTTCAGCTGCATATAAAAACAAACAATCCTTTTAAGTATGAACGATCTAGAGGAGTTGTGTTCATTTGTTGTAATTGCGGACGGACGACTGATATTACCATATTTTATTGATGTGGTGGTCGACAAAAACTGATTGAAATTTAGAATATATTAATCACCAATTTTATTCAATCATTTACTATATGTTCAAACTTAAGTTCTCTGTAATACCAAAAGTTGCAACAGTTACAAATTGTAAATCAGCTGAAATGCACAATGAACATATAGCTTTGACTTTCATTTTCTATTAACCATTTGTTTTTTACTCGCCCCGAAGAAGTCGACAAAGCGAGACTCAGGTGTGCTGTTTTCAGTGGCGGCATCAACAATGTAATAGTTTGTGATTAGTCCAGTTTATGGGGAACCACTTGTGGTAGGTCAATGGTCTTTGGTATGCAGTTGTATTAGCATTGGGACATCTCATTTCCATGGTCTTTTGACTTTGAATGTTTTGCATATTTTACATATTTAAGTTTGTGATTAGATCAGTTAAAGACGAACCACTTATGTAAAGTCAATGATATTTGGTATGCAGTTAATTAACATTTGCAAGTCTCATTTCCATGGAGATTATATGGCACTGCCCTCTCATCATGCTTCATTGACTTTGAAACTTTAACATAGTTTACTTGTTAAAGTTTGTGTTTAGGCTGGTTTAAAGGGAACCAGTAGTATTTGGCATAGAGTTTTATAAGCATTGGCATTTCTCATTTCTTTTAAATTATTTGTATATATAGCATATAATTTTGTTTATAATTGTTTCGATAGCTGCGTTTTATTGCTTGGTAGAGATGTCTTCTCTTAGTGATCTATAACGACTTTCGGGTGTTTGTTTTTGTTTTTCGTCAGGAATTTATAGCTTGGCGGTCAGAACATAGCCGTAAAAATAATTACTATTGAAAATTATTTTGATATATAACGCTCAGTCTTCTTGTCAGTTTGCAAGATGTCTTGTCTATCCAAAAAATATTCCCTCCGCCACCCCAATTCATTCATTTGACGGGTACATCTCAGCTACGCAGCAATACCTCTGCACTGCCATTCATTGCATTTTTTGTCACTGGTCAGTCTTTAAAATGACAATTTTTTATCCCCCAAGTTCTATCAACTTACAACTCACATTTCATAACATTTGTAGTTAGACTACAGTTGATAGGACAGGTCACGTCGAATTCCCCGCCAACCACTGTTTCGCAAGCATCCATAGTTCGCACAAAACTAAACGCTTTACAACAGATCAGGATTCAGGGAATTCGACGGAGAAATATTTTCAAAATTAGCTAAAATATTTTCAAAAGTAACTGAGATGATTTCCCAAGGGCGATACTATATTATTTCAATTTTTTTGGTAATAAATTTTATATTTCTTTTATATTTGTCAGTTTTTCTCTGTTGAAATTATTCGTTTTCAGTCAGACATTTTGTCTTTTTTATAGCACCACCAGCCACTTAATTACAGACAGCTTATCTTAACTTGGTACAGGTCATTAACGTCAATTACAAGTATATACCAGTTGCAACCTTCAGACGATAATCAATGTGTTCTAAAATATGTCACAGTGTAATTTACGAAATACCTTCTTGGAGAAACTAAGTGATTATAAACATGGCGATTATTTGGCCCTGCACCTTCAGTCATCGTTCCTTGACTTTGAATGTTTTACATAGTTTACATGTTTAAATATTGCCATATATAAAATCACAAAAAGGCGAGACATATCTCTGTGTCAACAGTATATTTAGATAAAAAATGATATTTTATTACGAAATACACAACTTCAAATTCTTTTCGCGCCGAAAGGAGTAAGTAGTTCATCTATTGTCAACACTGACGTTGTCAGTTCTTACCCCACAAGTGACTTGTGCATTCAACTCCAATTTTAATTATTTAGGATTGTTAGTTTTCCTGCTGAATGTCTGCTATCCTTTCTGGGTATTCCGGCTTCCCCAATAAAAACTGGCATCCATATAAAAGGCGATAGTGCTGAAATAGGCGTTAAGTAACAAAAATTATCAAGTCAATAAAATTCTTCTCAAACCACTGATTCTTAATTCATTTAAAGGGTTGGTGCATCTGCTACTGATGACGACGAGAAGGATCAAAACGGTGAAGCAAATGTGCTTTATCAAAATCAAGCTTTTGTGCATGATGAAAAAAGACCAATGAGTGATAGTGCAATTGTTGATACAAAGAATGTTCCACCACTCGCAAATAAAATGAATGGCGATTCAATAGAGAAACGGTCAAGTTTTAATGAAACGCCACCATTACCCAATATAAATGGACAGTCTAAATCCAACAATTTAATGCAGAATGGAACGTATAACGGTACGTATGAAATATGAATATCTTGATGAATGAAACAGTGAAAATAATTAAAAAATCGATACTGTACAACACAAATTACTATTGTATGTCAATAATCTATAGTTTGTAATGTTTTGTTATATTAGGTAGCAAGATACAAAGTTGAACACCCAACAGACAAAGCAATACCAAGCAAACACTACCTCGATCACAATAAATGTAAAAAAAAACACATACTTCGCTACAATTTTATCCTTTAATTGTATTTTGTTCAATATGAAAGCCAAAGGTTTATATTATAGATGATAGTTACTGAAGTTAGCTTTATTTCGAATCGTTTTGTCTCGGCAATACCATTGCTAGATGAAAGATGAATTTAGTAAGGCATACAGTGTTTTTTTTTCTAAATAATTATTGTCATTTAATCTATTTTTTTTGTGCTTTTAAACTACTTGAATAATTGTTGAAATAATTTTCAGAGCAAAATTTCGTTCTTTTTCCACAATGTAATTGTTATAGAATGGTGCATATAGATGAGCTACACATAAAAAAGATACTATGCTGGTCCATAAAAATTGCCAAAATTTAACCCTTCGCAGCACCACTATTTGAATGACACAAAATCAATCAAAATCAAAAAATATTGTCATCATTGCATTGTCATAACGGTATTAGAATCGCAGTTATAGAATCAGTGATTTTTTTATAAATATGTCAAGACCTGTTGATTTTAATAATGTATTTATTAAGTATTTTGATAAATTTTCCATTAACTGTTATTACTTAATTGAATTAAAGACAGAACGTTATTTTTTAATAATGACCTTTTCTTAAGATACTTCTTACAATTTATAGAAATGTGATGTAATATAAACACTATACAGTTTTAGTAATTTGACTGTTGATTAATCAATTTATGGATATTATCAGAAGTCCATTACCAGTAATGAACTTCTGATATTAATGATACCTCATTCAGAACTAAATATAGTTAAATATCAAAGAATGTATTCACGTCAACTAACATCAGAAAGTTTATTCAACTATTTTTTGCAGCATTTAATGAGAATGTCAAGAAAAATGCTGGACTTGCCTTGACAATGCAGCAGTTTTATGGAATGTTTGTAAAGAAAATGATTCAGACATGGAGAAATCGTGTGGTAACCTTAGTGCAACTGATAATGCCGGTTCTTTTCACTATCTTTGGATTGCTCGTCGTGGAGTCGTCGCCGGGTAATACCGCGGATCCTGCATTAGCTTTGGAGTTGTCGTCTTTTGGTTCTGGTTTAACAGCTATTTGGGATGATGGCAATGCAACCACAGGTGCTGAATTCGACATTGCCAATCAATATTCAAATGCTATTACTAGCAGCGGTAATGCCGCTTTAGATGCCGCCGCTGCATCCAATATCAGTACATACCTCATGAATAAAGCTGATAGCGTGGGAATATCAACATTCAACACAAAATATATGATAGGCGCTTATCTTGCAACTAGTAACAGTTGGATAGCCTATTTTAATGGCGAGCCATTCCACACACCTGCAATTTCTTTAGCATATTTGATGGATGCAATTTTTAAATACGCTATGAACAGTGATTTATATTCTATCAAAACAACAAACTCGCCCTTTAAACTTACAGTAGACGAGAATGAACGAGCTAACTTCTTTACATATATTGGAACAGCCTTTTCGCTTGCTTTTCAGATTATGTTCGGAATGGCGTTTTTGACAGCCACTTTTATCATTTTCCTGATCAAAGAACGGTCATCTGGAGCAAAGCATATCCAGAAAGTGAGCGGAGTTAGTTCTATTGCTTTCTGGGCATCAAATTTTCTATGGGATTTGATCAATTATCTTATTCCAGTTTTGCTGATATTGATTGTTTTTGCAGCATTTCAAACAGAGGCTTTTGTGGATGACAATCGCTTAGGGATAGTTTTCCTTATATTTGTATTCTATGCCTGGAGTTTTCTCCCATTAACGTATGCGGTCAGCTTTTTTTTCTCATCAGCTCCATCTGGAATGGTTGCTATGACTATGCTGAATATCATTATTGGTGAGTAAAATTTTTGAAAGGAAAAAAAAATATGAGTTAAACAGTATAAAACGCATTAAAATTTTAATATCTATGATCAGAGTATTAAGTATTGTATCAGAGTTCGGCTCACCTTTGTCAAGGGTCCTATTATATATTTCACAGTGGTCAGTTTTATTTCTGAAGAGAACCGAAGTGGTGGAGCAGACTCTATCAATGTTCTACAGTGTAAATATATAAACAATATATGTACACTGTCGGAAAGTATAAAATTTATTTGTACGAGCTTTAGAAACAGGACGAAAAGCGAAACTCGCCAAGCTTTTCTCCTGTTTCCTAGCGAATACAAATACATTTAATATTTCCAACAAGGTACACATAATGTTTTATCCTGCAATTTACACCTGACACTTGAAGCTTTAGTTGTTTAAATGAAAATCATTTTCTCTGATTTTTCCAAGAATAGACATATTTTAAACTCGTACCACAAAGAGGACCCCAAAATGAACTGTTACGCAAAAAGAAATAACCACGGTACTGCTTGCTCAACATTGACGCACGTTTATTTGTGTACCTGTTATTTGTACAATAGTTGGCTGATTGCAATATTTTCACATATAAGTAGATCTAGCTCACCGTAACATATTTTTAGACATCAGAAGTTTGAACCTAAATAGTGAAAAGTAAATGTTGACACAGACATCATGAAGTCAAAAGAAACAATATGATGTAGATTAAGTTGCAAATGAACATTTATTAGTATATTTAAATGAATTAATAAGTGTTAATATGGCCATTAAGAAAACTGTTACCACGCAAAAGAGAATGGGTAACCATTACCGAAAAGGCATGGACACTCTTCCATTTTTGATTATGCACTCTTCAATAAAACATCAAATCTATTGCAGGTCTTGCTACACTGATTGCAGTATTTGTCCTCAAAATACCCGGATTTAATACATACTCTATTGGTAGCGCGTTAGACCTTGCATTCGCCATATTGTTTCCAAACTACTGCATGGGAACTTCGTTAATGAGCATGTATGTCAACTGGGGGTATACCAAAGCATGTTCCGAAAGTGGATATCCAGCGTCCTGCCAGTCAAGTAAGTCTAGATATATATTTGCTCTAGATTTGTTAGATATTTATAATCGGGGAAGGTGTAGTGAACAAGTTTTACTACAAAATGGCTTAATTAAGAAATGAAATCACATAGAAATAAGTTTGCAATTAGATATTTTTATGGACTTTTAGTTTTGTCGCTCATTGGACAAAAGAAGCGGACAGCAAGGTGTAATTTCTCCGGTGACCTCAACAATGGTTAACTTTTGTAATTTGAATAATGTATCAGAAAACTGTACTGTTATGGAAACTATAATTTATGCCGGCCATCAGTACATATTATTTATTTAAAAGGGTTATTAATCTTCAGTTCGGTTATGGTATATTTACATGACTTACTTCAACGTATTTTAAGTTAGACATTATATTTTCATGATGAAACCTGTGTCCGAAGAGCAGTATATACAAATTTCATTTATTCTTAATACGTTTGCCAAGGTTTTTTACACGAGTTTTATAATACACTTATCAAAGAGTCAAGTAACTCCTAGTAGTCTGTTGTTATTTATGTATTATTGTCATTTTGTTTATTTTCTTTTGTTTCCTATTCTTACATCGGACTCGGACTTCTCTTGCACTGAGTTTTACTGTGCGTACTTTTGTGCGTTTGTTTTTTTATACATTGGCTAGAGGTATGAGGGGGTTGAGATCTCAAAAACATGTTTAACCCCGCCGAATTTTTGCGCCTGTCCCAAGTCAGGAGCCTCTGACCTTTGTTAGTCTTGTATCATTTTTAATTTTAGTTTCCTGTGTATAATTTGGAGTTTAGTATGACGTCCATTATCACTGAACTAGTATAAATATTTGTTTAGGGGCCAGCTGAAGGACGCCTCCGGGTGAACGAGTTTCTCGCTGCATTGAAGACCCATTGGTGGCCTTCGGCTGTTGTATGGTCGGGTTGTTGTCTCTTTGACACATTCCCCATTTTCATATTCAATTTTAAGGTTTATAATTATGTGCGCCAGATGCGCGTTTCATCTACACAAGACTCATCAGTGACGCTTGAATCAAAACAGTTGGAATGCCAAATCAAATATAAAGTTGAACAGCATTAAAAACCGAAAATTCCAAACAGTGGTGCCAATAATGCTATGTATATGCATTACTTGTCACGTTATTATTTGAATTTTTCATAGGGATATTCAATGTAGTATACATGTAATCGTTCCAACCAAGCTTTCGTTTGAATAGTCATTGGTTATGTTACAGTGCACCTACCCGCATTAAGTTCTAGTATGAATGTGAAAAAGGATGGAATGTATTCAATAAGTTCTTAGATCAATTGATACAATTCATGAACATATGCATTGGTGTACAACATCAATAATGAAAACTTAGCATAGTTTATTGAATATTTATCATGTATATATAAGTATTGTTTGGCAGATGTTAAATCTACTACATTATCACAAGCCCAGTAGTCAGCACTTCTATATTGACATGAATTATCATTAATATGGTTACGATAATGAATTAACTGTGAACAAAATTTTCGAAATACCAAAGATATTCTACCCCAGGAATAGATTGCAAAAGCGATATTTTCGGAATTTTGGGTTTTCAATGCTCTTCAACTTCGTACTTTATATGGCCTTTTTAACCTCTTTTGATTCGAGCGTCACTGATGAGTCTTTTGTAGACGAAATGCGCGTCTGGCACATATTATTTTGATCCTGGTACCTATGATGAGTTTATTATGGTCAGTGCAAATATTTTCAAATTGGTTTGTTTGGTTCAACGTCGATTTTGTTATTGGTTAGTTTCTCAAAAAAGATTAGTAAAAGCTTAAATATGAATGGTCAATAGGTCAAAGGTATACATGTCCATATGATAGGATTCACCTGATCATGACCTTATTTTTGAAAGTTTGAGTTCTAGGTCAACTTTATTTGTTCAATACAATCATTTCAAGGTAACCATAACTGATTTACAGATGTCACCTGGTCTTGACCATTACTTATGTTCATTAATCATCGTTACGTTTTCTTCGTTTTCTTGTCTCATCGAATACCTTTATTCCAAGAAACTATGCAAAACTATCGCCAAAAGAAAAAAAAACCGAACACATGGGCTTGTACTCGATGTGCGGTTGTAGCACAAGATTTTATTCGGTTATAATTAATTATGCAGTTCATTCTTGTTTCTGAAAAACAAACCTTGTCTAAAAAAGAAATATTCATCATCTTTTTAGAAATGTTACAAAATTGTGAAAGACAGCAGCTCCTTAATTTAAGGAATGCAGAACATATCTATTTGGACAAAACAAAGAAGAATTACATTTGCGTAAATTGAAAATGTTTGGAAGCAATTTTCAACAATTTCATTTTAATATAAATAATATAAACAGAAATACCGAACTCCAAGGTAAGTTAAAAAAGGGGTAAGTCCATTAAACCTGACAAAAAGTAAGACTATATCAGAATAAACTTGGTACAGGCATTTTCCGAAGCAATTGTGGATTAAACCTGGTTTTATAGCTAGCTAAACCTCTCACTTGTATGACAATTGGTTTTTTTTATTGACAAAATTTGGTGAGTAGCCTAAACAGACAGTTAATATGACAATAATTGCGATCCAAATATAAAGAATTGAATGTTTTTATACTTAAAACTAATCTATTCTGTATAGCTTATATTCATTTCAATAACTAGTTTCTTATTGACCTTCCTACAGGCTGTGATTCGAATGGCGGTGATATATGCTTCCCAAACTCTTCTAACTATCTCGACACTGCCTATCCAGGAGTTGGTCTTTACATATTGTTCCTAGTTGCACAAGGAGTTGTTTACTTTGCTATTCTGTTTATGATTGAAAATGATGTGTTCAATAAATGCAGATACAAAGTCAACAATGGAAATAGTACATCGGTCTCGGATTTTCCATCGGACGAAGCCTCCATTGATGGAAAACAAGAGGATAATGATGTCGCCGAGGAAAAACATAGAATAAATTCTAATTCTGTCACTCATTTAATGGAAACAGATTCCGTTATTGTTAAGAACCTTACAAAATATTATGGTAGGTTTCATGCAGTAGAATGTATCAGTTTTGGAATTGCACCTAACGAATGTTTTGGATTGTTGGGACAAAATGGCGCTGGAAAAACCACTACATTCAAAATGTTGACCGGGGATGTTCCTCTTACGAAGGGTAATGCCTTCATGAATAAATATGACATAAAACAACATATGAGACAAGTTCAACAAAATCTTGGTTATTGTCCTCAGTTTGATGCCCTAATTGATCAGATGACTGGAAGGGAAACTTTGTATATGTATGCTCGGCTGCGTGGCGTGCAAGAGAACCAAATCAAAGGTGTGGTTAATGATATAATGGACGTGATGATGTTGAAGAAGTACGCAGATCGGGAGTGTGGCACGTACAGGTAAATGTATTAGTATAAAAAAAAATTATACAAAAACTGTTTCACCAAATAACTTCAGATTAGAAAACCCAAATAAATTGTAAAATATGTACGAAATTCAACTTTTTGTATTCAGGTATATTTCAGTTTTGGCCATTCTTCGTTTTTTCTTTGGACATAAATTGTTACACATTCTCAGGTTGAGACTAGACGTATTTCAAGTGTCAATTATTATTGATTAAAACTTTTAAAAGTAAAAACAACACACATTTCAAACTTTCAGTTTTAATTGATTCTATATATGAAATGAAAAAAATGAATCAAATTTTCATTTACCAGTCAGTAAAAAACTGCGAGTTTTCAAGATCTAAAAACTAACCTGTAAAACTAAAGAATTATTTGTTTGTTGCCTCAGAGTTTTTTCTATATTTCTTCATATTTGTGACGGACGAAGAGTGAAATCTTGTATACAGATGCTTAAAGACTGAAGTTTCCGTCCAGTATTTGTCAGTTGTCAATGTGTCCTAGACCTGATTTTCATGCTTGAACGACTGCATAAAAAACTGTAAAGATTTAATCTCTTGACTTTACCATTTAGTTTGAGAATTGTATCTACTATAATTGGTATATAGAATTACTGTAAGGTATATATATGTCCGTCAGATACCTTGACATTATTTCATGTTTTAGTGATAAAAGAAGGTTTTTTTTGGTTTATTTTAGTTTCTCAAATACTTAAAGAAATAGGTCAACTAAAGTGTGTCAAATGATTGTAAGTTGTACATTTCTAAAAAGTATAACAAAAATACTAAACTCCAAGGTAAATTCAAAAAGGGGGAAGTCCATAAAGACTGACAAAATCAAACGTGGGACTTTATCATCCAACGGAATGAATGGAAAACAACCGTCATATTCCTGACTTGGTACAGGCATTTTCCGAAGAAAATGGTGGGTTAAACCTAGTTTTATAGCTAGCTACACCTCCCACTTATATGACAGTTGTTTATAGTTCCGTTATATTGAAAAAATTTGGTGAGCAACCCAAACAGACATAATAGGTTAATGTGACAATAATTGGGATCCAGCAGCCAAAACTGTGTAAACATACATCACAGACATACAACACAACTAACCAAATAATTCAAACAAACATACATTAAATCTAACAAAGACACCAACAAAAAAGATTTTGTAGTTAAGACATGCAGTATGTAGTATACACTTTCTCGATAGAGTATAACTTAAGTCAAATGTTTCATCTGAAAAATAACCTTTTGGAAGGATCAATTTTAAGTTTTTGTGAACGACCTCGATTTCAACTACTTTACACAAATAGATGTGCTGTTTATGTTAAAATAAGATCTGGTTTTCCTTTGACAGCGGTGGTAACAAGAGGAAATTAAGTACAGCTATGGCCTTAATTGGGGACCCTCCTTTTATTCTACTCGACGAACCAACGTCTGGAATGGATCCTGGTGCCAGACGACAACTATGGAATGTTCTTTCACAAGTTAGAGCCAGTGGGAGAACGTTAATTCTTACGTCACATAGGTATGTGTTTAGATTGAAGTTAACAGTCCTACCCCCATTTACTAGTAACATGTAAAGTTTAATATATGGTACTTTTACTTATTGTTTTTACTCCTCTGACCTCATACAACAATGTGTATTGTCAAGACGCTGTCGATGACTCTGCATCAATATTCTTGAGAATGCGTGAGAAAAGACATAGTTCCTTTCATTTTTTACATTATTTTCATTACAAAGTCAGTGGCTAATGTAAGAATAACTCATGTGCTACGTGCATTCGTGAATACATGTGTTGTACGATCACTCGTTTTACACTTTTCTTTATTTTAATTCTTGGATTAGTTATTCTATAATTTTAGTTTACTTATGTAAATAATTAAAAGTATTTCCCATTTATTTTTCAGTATGGAAGAGTGTGATGCCTTATGTACTAAAGTAGTCATCATGGTTAATGGAAAATTTGTTTGTTATGGAAGTCCACAACATTTAAAAAACAAGTTTGGTCATGGATACACACTTATTTGTCAAATGAAAATGGAGGAAAGTGGATTCCATGCTTCTACACAACCACTGAAACAGTTTGTTAAAACAACGTTTCCCAACAGTGAAATATTTGATCATCACCATGGCTACTGTCATTTCCAAATTCCGGATGCAGATATTCCATTGGCTGCGGTATTTAGTGCTATGGAACGTGCAAAGAAAGACTATAATATTGAAGACTATGCTGTTCATCAGACGACACTTGAACAGGTGTTTTTGACATTTACACAGAATCAGATTCCACCAAAAGAAGAGAAAAAGAAAGGTTGTTGTTCAAGTAATGGTGACAGTAGCCCTGCATGTTGTTGTTGTTTATAAAAATTGTTTTTCAGTATATGTAAAATCAACAACTTTCTTAAATATTTAGATTCCGGATCGCATAATTTATGAACGTCTATATTCAAAGACAAAGAAAGCCATATCATGTTTTATTGCATGGCTAGATATTAAATGCAACCAAGTACCACTTCTGTCGTAAACATTTTCTTGCACTATGTTATGAATGTTCTTATAAAACTAAGCTACCAGAGAGAAAAAAGTGCCAAGCAATGACATTCCAACGTATGATCTAGAGAAATATTACTTCATATTTGTAATACAAGGTCTTAAATATTACAAATTTCATTCTGTTCCCCGTTTGCATTAATCATGTTAATATACATCTATTTTTTGTCCAATCGACGAAGTTACAAAGTCGATCATGGTTGATTGACATTGTAAGTTGCATAGTTTACATGTTCAAGTTTTAAAATTTTATTTCAACATTTGAATTATGCTATCAAAACTACATACAGGCAAGACATGTATCTGTATCAACAATTTATTCAAATTATAAGGAAGTTTGGTATCTTAGCACGCCCTGTTTTAGATCAGGGGTGTGAAGTATTCTTAGCACCCTTTTAGAATGTAGAGAGGAAGAATTATACTCGGTTATATGACGATTTCTTGTATTTAATATAAAAAAACATGCTTTTTGTCAAGCCTATGGCAAATGCTTCTTTTTGATAAGTTAAGTTAACAACTAACTGTCCAGTTTTTGGATTTGTCATAAAAGAACATATCACTAATGTAGATATCCTGTTGAATTTACATCAAATTATTTCTGTTCCAAAGTTATATATGTAGAGTATTTATGTAATAAGTGCTATTCCATGAGTCAATATTTTGTTACCGATGTGATGTCAACCCCCTTAATTATTCTTCTTGAATAACTTGAGATTGCCTATCGTACTATGTTTTCTCATTTACTTGAAAGAAGTCGAAACGTTCCTATGTTAGTTTATTGATTTCAGTTGTTGGTTGATTAAAATATGATGTATGTTAAAATCATCCATGCAAAAAGTTTTAAATGTGTAGGAAATTAGATACGCATGAAAGGTTATTTCCAAAGTCGATAGTGTCCGATGATTTCAATGGCTAAGCCTCAAGTAGACTGTGATAATGTATATTTTTGCAATTTATTTAAAATGACATGGTATTGTTTTTATTATCTTATAAATGTTACATGTTGTAATTTGCTGTAAATCTTATTTACAATGAAAAGATGACATAAGATGCTAATCGAAAAAAACAGACAATATCATAACCAAACAATAATATGATGAAAATACAAATAGTAGTCAAGAAACACTACACTAAAACCCAAAGACTGAGCAGCACGAAACTCACCTAAAAGAGGGATAATCTCAGTTGCTCGTGACAAGTAAAAATTCGGTGACAAGTTGCATTAGATGATGTCAGAATCAATGAAAAAATAACTTATTTCAAAAAGTACAAAGAAAACACACTCATACAAGCAGATGATTAGAAGGAAAAATTGAAGTGATAATCAAAATTTAATTGTATAGTAAGCATATGTGATTTTTCATACTTAAAATACACATTTGAAGTAGACGTTAATCCGGTATTAGCCTTAAGGTTTTACAGTAACACTTAGGAAAATTCCTGTTTAATATGAAATTTACTTGTTTAGTTTCAAAGGGATACGTGCATACGTTCATTCAAATTTTGACTCCATGTCACAGACATAAAAACTACATACACCCTGTGTATACTCAAATGACCTACAGCACTTGTGTCGTAAGTAAGTCATGTACTTAAATAGTACAGAATAGTACAAGTCAATTATATTTTTATTTAATTTAAGATGATTGCCTCATGTATTTTTTTTTTTTTATTAAATGAATCTCATATCAGGACGCATAATATCATGACTTTGCAATCCAAGTTTTATTCATTTCGGATATATTTACATATTTGCTTTTATGTGTATTTTGTTTACATTTTGTACAAATCCTTTTTAACAAACCAGGTTGATGAGGTATGTTTTTTTTCATCAAATCAACAATTTAGTACAAATGAAGTACAGTACTAAGCGACTGAAATTTCATGGTTTAAAATAATTGAAAAAGAGTTGATTTGATTATCTAGTAATTTCTTTTAAAAGATGAAGAAAATGTCTAAGTGGATACGATTTATACAACAAGTAACACTTTATTTTTTCAAAAAATTAAAAATTAAAGTAACTTTTTTTTTATGTAAAAATACTATATTGAAATATATTTACATATATTTACGTTGATTTTAACTAATGAAAAATGAGAACATTTCTATAAATATTGGGATACGGATACATGTAAATAATAAATGATCAATTTGCATATCAAGGATGATTTTGTTTTCCGTTTATAACAACTGTTTTTTCTTCAATATTTTTTACCATTATAGAAAATCAATGACAAAACAACACTGTCAGCCTATTTCAAGATTTTTTTATTTTTATTTAATACTATATTATGTTTACCTTAAATTTTACCCCAGTTATCATTAACTGCATCATCAATTAACTAATGATATCAGACATAGACAATCATTTAATTATACATGAAGTTATGTATGATAAGTATCCAGTAAGTCGCACTAAGTTTTTTTTTATCTTGTTTAAATGTCACTGAGAACACTATTGTGGGAAAAATATTTTCTTTGTTCATCAACAATTGTTTATTAGAAAATAAAAGATAAGAATTTTTTTTATATACGTTTGTAGATTTTTGGGAACGTAATAAAAAAGATTTTAAGTTTTTTAATTTTTGCACAAAAGTTTTGCCTCTTTTTGTCCGTTCCACTGTATGTATTTTTAGATATTTGCATCGTATTATAATAGTTCAGTGGCCCCATTTAATGGTTTGATATTTTCAAGATTACTATAACAATCTGAACTTAAACACCGGTAAATGAACACTTGTGTAACAATATCTCATTCATGTTCTCTTAGATCTGTATTGTTATGTTTTGTGTATTGTAATAACATGATTGTTTTAATAAAAGTTGTAATACCATTATTCTGTATTTTCATAAACAGTCGTCATTGCTTTAAAATGCTTTTTTAAGGTTACAACCCCCTCAGGCAAATTTTGATAGATGGAAGTGAATATCATTTTAGGTTTGTTGGGTCATACAGCTCTTCAACTGTTTCGATTCTTATACATCCTCGCCTTTCAAATATTCTTCATTCAGTGTTCCTGGTGAAGGTAAACCCAGAAAAGCACTTCGGACACATGAAATTTATAACTTATTGTTGCCATATTTTACTTTCAGTTTGGTTTGTTTCTATTATTACCTTTAACCTTTGTTTGTCTTGCATGAAAGAAAGTCTTTTTTTTGGATACAAGATTTGTCGGGTACTGTAATATATCGAACTGATTTTTCCTTGGCTTGCAGGGTTCAATATATTTCTACAATTTAGTGACACCGCACAGTTACTTTTTACGCTTATGACATATATCTATAAGGCTGATTTTGTAGGTTTGATTTCTTTATCATGTACATTTTATTGTATCGAACTTATTGTTCCCAATTCACAAGAAAAGAACAGAAATTGTTAATCACAAAATGTGTTTAAAGGCCCAGTTATTCCAGTCACCATTTTGGTCTCTACACACACAAATAACAAACACACTAAACTATGAGCAAAATGCAAAGTAGTGTATTTTTCAAGGTATACTTCTGCATTAAAATAACAGTCATTATTCGCCTGATTCCAATGTAATTGCTGAGAGATCGACTTTTTATGGTACATCCAGGTCACGTGATGTAAATAAACTCTGTCTTTAGGACTTTGATATGTTCCGAACAATAATTTGCTCTATATATTTCTTGATACAGAACTCTTTCTCATATAAAATTGAATAAAGTGTTAAACGAATCTAATTATAAGTTTTAAACTCAGTATCATATTCCCCGAAATACAGAATGAAATTGTACAACTGTTATAAGATAAAATTTGAAAAAAAAAATATTTCCAGATGTAGTTCTGGCTAACGCTATTCAGAAACCAAGCTTTATGGCGGACACATAAATCCCGACTCTGTTGTATTGACTTTAAAACTTGGAACAAAAGCAACAAATAGCAACAAATCCTACAGTTATAAATTTCGAACAATCCCATATATATTTGATACTACCTGTACGAAATGGGACGCCCGTAAATGACACGGAAACCAGGCGTAGAAATCATACTCTATCAGGGCGTCATTGTAGTGTTTACGGAATGCATGTCCAGGCGTCAACCAGGCGTAAACCAGGCGGAAACCAAGCGTAACTGAGGCGGAAACCAGGCGTAAAATTAGGCGTAATATTTAAATGAGTACGCCTGGTCCACAGAAAACCAGGCGTTATATGCAAATGAGTACGCCTGGTCAATAAAAAAACCAGGCGTAATATCCTTACATAATACTACACTTATTTTAAATCAGTGTTACCCTTAAGCTGTGTATACTTTTGTGTATTTGATACAAACTTCTGTACTATTGCTTAAATTTCTCATTGTTTGACATGACACTTGAAATATTAACCATTAATTGAAGAAGCTATATAAATAAATACATATTAGACAGACACTGGCTCAAATAAGTTTAAGTTTAAATTAGAATTATGACAATTAATTCTTCCTGAAATAAAACCAGCATTTTAACTAAGTTTTTTTTTAAATTAATGTCATTTTAACCAAAATATCAATGATAATACTGCAATTTAACTTAATGTGAAAGATTTTAATGTTATCATCCAAGGATGAAGGTTTTCAGAATTCAAAATTACTGTTAAAAAAAAAAACTTAGTTACTCACATAATTATCTTTTACCATGTATATTACTTTCCTTTTATTTCACAATTTTCATTAATCAATTTGATTCCATAATTCCAATTTCTTCCAAAAAGCACAAAACAAGCTTAATTGTCCCTGAATATATAAAGCTGCCATAAGTCCAACTCTTGCAAAATAATACCAAAGAGCCAAATTTTGAAAAAAAATCCCATGATCCTTTATCAACAAAGCATTATGGGTATTATGATTTACGCCATACCAACAGTTTTACGCCCGTAGGAAAATTTACGCCTTGCTTATTTCAATTTACGCCAGGTTTACCATATTTTCTACGCCCGTAAGGACTACAAATTTACGTTTCCTGTTCCCTTACGCCTGGATCTGGACACGTAACTACCACTTACGCCTGGTTTACGCCAGATTTCCAGGCGTAATACGCCTTATAATTTCGTACGGGTAGTATTTTACGACATTTGCTCATCAATGTGCAAAAGGCTTTGGGTATCTCCAAGTGGCTGGTCATGTAAAAATGCAATAAAACTAGGTTAAGTGTGAACGTTATATGAGCTACACTTTGTTATAGGATTATGGATATAAATTAATTCTTACTTAAGTGATAAGGTCCAATTTGATCTTTTATCATTAATATCAAAGTATTTCATCAAGTTCTCAATACAACTAGACCTAACGTTTTTGGGTAAAGATTGCATTCATGCAATCAAAACCATTATGGGGCTGACTTGATAGCTATCAATTTTTCTCAAATTTAACCACTACTTTTGTGACTAGCACTACATAGTGCGTAACAGCATGTACATCCTATCCATCAAAATTTTAAGAAATTTATCAATGAAATATATACACAGGTATTCATGATACAAATGATGTGTATTTGTATAACTATACCTGTCAAGAAAATTAAATAAATTGTGCATCGTGCATGAATCTAGCATCTGTTCTTAAAATATCAATGATGTCTTTGTTATAGTTATATATAAAATTAGAATTATCTTCCTTTATCCATACAATTATACCTACACGTCATGGTATTACCTTTCAGATAGTAAAAAGACGACAAAGATATTGATTGATTCTCTTCTCAACCTGGCTTATCTTAAAAAAAATCATATCCTGCTTACAAAGTTACAAAAGAGAGGCGAAAGATATCAAAGGGAAATTTAAACTCAAAAATCGATGACAAATTGATAGACAACGCCATGAGTAAAGTACAGAAAATCACCAAAGAACAAACAACAGTATACAAAACACAGCAAAGAAAAATAGACTGAGCAACACTAACCCCACCAAAATCCGGGTGATTTCTCGGGTACACCTGAAAGGTGAGCAGATCCTGATTCACACGTGACATTGTAGTTACGACATTGAAACATATTCGTCGTCATTTGTGAAACAAATATGCAAAAACTTTAACCATTTTTATGCTATTGTTACATATTGACACCTTGTGAACGCATCTTGTCTTGAGATCGTTTACAAGTAAGCTCTCATACTTAGGATAGTTTGTCATCAGGTTCAGTTGATCATACCATATCGGCATTTTGTGTTTGACAAACTGCAGTAGTAATGGGACTTTGGTGGGGTTAAACAAGTGGCGTAAGAGTACAACATAAGAACACACTATAAAAATCAGTTAAAAAGGGCTTAACTCATCAGAATGATACAAAGCAGAAAAACATCTAACAAAAACAAGGACCTGACGTTGTAGGGTATTCATATACATCCATCACAACACAAAAGACACAAAGTACAGTACTGAGAGTACTCGAAGTTACTGACAGCTAGTTCAAAGACAATAACTAATAAAAAATCATGTATTTAAGACAAAATATGAAATAGTACACATCTAACATCCAATGTTGTTTGTCGTCAAGATAAATTGGCTTACTTTATTATCATCATTTTGGTTTGACAATTTGTTGCACTAGTTATTTGACACAAGGATATTTATTATGGTGGCACGGTAGTATTTCCTAGCCCATAGGGATAATGGTAGCCTTTTTAGAATTTTCATCACTTTCTAACACTGCCCAAAATTCTACATACACAGTTAACTGAAGTACTTTCATTATTATATTCAGAAATTAATTTGATTATGTAAGATGACCGTTTACTTTTTTTGCTATTTTAAGAAACTTAAGGCCACTAGTGCTTTTAGGTCTTTTATCATGCAGCGAATACATGATTTCAAAAAATTCTCAAAAATTCATTTTCACCTGTATAAAAAATTATTTCATATTTTTCTACACCTGATTCATTCCTCAGTTTGGGAAAGTATGTTCAGTAGATATTGTATTTTTTGTCCGATCACACTGTTCAGATACATTGACTTAAGAAGGGTACACAATAGGTGTCAGACCACCAATGACTCCCTCCAGCTTAGAACGTATGTAAAAGTAGGCCTACTCGGACAAAAAATAGTGCATTTGATGTCATTGTTTACTTAAACTAACCAACAAATTTGCAGAAATGAAACTTTTGGTGAAAGAGAAATATATTAAGATCATGTTGAGCCAAAATTTACTTGTCTATGAGTTTGCATTAAACGTTGAGGATTAATGCGCTCCATAGTATACTAATTTAAGATTTCCAGAAAACCAGGGGTTATTTTTAGTGGTACCTCAGTTCGGGAGGTCTCTTCTTTCTTATAAGATTTTAAAGGTATGTTGAAAATTGGCATGTAGAAAGGTGATACCTGTACGATTCAGGATATACCCGATTTCTATGAAGTTAAACTTAAGGTAAAATATTTAGAAAGATGTGAAAATTGCAAAATTTGGTTGAACAGATTGGGATTTTTAATTGGTGGTCTGACACCAAAAGAGCAACCTAAATTCCGGAATGTAAATACTACCGCGCCACCTTAACAAAGACATCACAAACTTGAAACCAGTCAATGATGCATAGACTTCTTTCATGGAAACATATTACAATAGGGAATACTAGTCTGCACTTATTTCTTACCCCCCCGCCCCCCCCCCCCCCCCCCCCAAAAAAATTATACCCCTACCCCAGCTGGCAGATTTTCACTTTTTTTCATCTTACCACTTTTACTTAAGGAGTGAACAAAAACCAATTATACAATGTTTCAAATCAGCACAGGAGTAAAACATGATGAGTCAGGAGGAATTATTGGATTGCAAACTCTATTTCTAGTTAATCTGACTGAAAGAAACAGTATAAGTACCAAATCATGAAAAAGATAGTAAAGTCCATTCC